AGACTTGGTTATCTGCAAATGACCCACTTAGAGAAGCTTCTAATTTCTGTTTATTAAACAAATTCAAAGCATTCTTTATTAGGACTTCCTTAAACTGCTTGTTTTTGTGTATTCAAGATTAGATCATGTTCGTTTAATAAAGCAGAAGATTGTTAGAGATTCATTTATGTCACCAACTCTAAAAGGGAAGCTAACGGTGATGAAGTAGGAACTTCTTCCACCATATTCAGTCATATTGGAGTCATAGCTGCCCTGCCTGCTTTAATTCCCTCACAAAATCCAAAATGCAATAGTGACTCATTGCTGTCCTAAGGATGCACTCAGCTCCTGAAAAAGCACCATGGTTAAAAAAAAAAAAAAAAAAAAAGGATTTAGCTGACGCCCTCTGACATAACTTCTGCATTTACATCACCCACATCAACTTATTTTCTGTCTCAGCTTATGAGATAATATTTCCGATTGTTTATAATATGACTGCCAATAGGAGATTAGCTGAGAAATTAAATAATCTGACAAATTTTCAGTCTGACCAAACCTCACAGAATCTCAAAAATCCTGTTTTTATTTAGTTAGCAAACTCAGCACACGTTAAGACAATCATCTGATAGAAAGTTGACGTTTCATTGTTTTAATAATAGGATCGAGAGTTAAAAAATGAAAAACAAAGATAATCTAAGAGATCAGACTTGACGGCTAACATCAGTTACAGATAAGGAGTTTAACACAACGACCAGAGAAAAACACATTTCCACACCTTTGGAAAAAAACCACAGATACAGGTGTGTCTAAAAGCTTTTCCAGCAAGTTAGGACATGAAATCAAGGATAGAAACACTCCTGTGTGACCCGTCACCGCAAACAGAAACTCCACCTGATCATAAATAAAACTTCATAAACTCTTAGATAATATTCAAAGACGTGGCCAGATTAGATTAAGATTAAACGCTCTTTATGAATTAGGCATTCCTGGTTACTTTGACATAAGATCAATTGCTTTAAACATCTCCGTGTGATTTTTAACAAACTGAATAAATACTTTGATGATAAAGATTAACTCATTTTACTTTTTAAATAAAAGCAAAAATTTAATGTTCTTAAATTGAGTTAAGTGAAGTTTTGGACAGTTAATTTAAAATAACGCAGGGCCGAGTGTCATCAGTAAAATCTGACAAAGAGCTTGTGATCTTTATAAATGGTGCCCATAATTAACCATAAAATGAGATCATTCATTGATTTTAAAGGTTGGGTTTTGGACCTTGGCATGATCAGAAGATCAGTTCACTATGAATACAAAATTAAGCCGTACTTCAGGTATATTTTTAACAATAAATTTTTTAGACGCTAATGACTAAGCTGTGTGTGTTATAGGTCACACACTGTGAAGCAGACGACTGTTGAGGACTGATAGGCATCATACCATCTAGCACGCTGATCTGGAGACCTTTGATGTGGATTACTGCGCTCTCTGATGGAGTATTGTTAGCTGCTGCTACTGATGTCTTGCAACCGGATCTCTCCAGCATCTATATCACCCTGTATCATCATTACCAAGTCATTGTGTACCAGTCAATTAGTAGCCCCTAAAACTGCTGAGCCTCAGCAAACAGGCTGACAGCAGGAAGGAAAAACAGCCACGGATTTGAGGAGAGTTCAGATCAGAAGAAACTTTTGTGAACTTTCCATTAGGTGCAGTCAGAGGTTGCAAGCACACAAAATTAAAGTTGGAGCAATTTTTACTGGTTTAAAAATAAAGCATCTCCATGCTGACAGAAGTGTGTCTCCATAACTAAAAGGATTTGATCAATTATGACCAATTTGTGGTGGTTTTGCCGTTTAATTCGAATTAAAAAAGCAGCGCCTATAAAAGGGGCAAAAAGAGAAAAAAGTGAAGCTTAAATCTCCTAAGGAAGGAAACAGACATTTGTTTACACAACAGAAAGGGAAGACTGAACAGCAGTGACATTAGGAAAACAAAAGACCAACTACAATTACAACGCTAGCTTAATAGATCCAACTATTATTCCTAGGTTCTTTGTTTTCTTTAATGAATCTCAGAAAGGCAACTATAATTTCTCTGGCTGTAAAAACCCACTGCTCCCCCTCTGGCACCTGTTGCTACTTACTGTATCCTTGCAGCTGAAATAAGGCTAATGCATGAGGGTGATGTGGTGGCCCTGCTAGCTTATGAGCCGGATGGGACAGGGCCCAGAAAGAACTAATCGCTTTTTAAACATGGCTGACTCGCTGCTTTTCCTTTTGTGAAGCTAGTTTGAACTTTTTTCCAAGTTTTTGAAGCATTTTAATTTTTCTTCTGTTCACTTTCTGTGATTGCAGTATTTCTACTTTACATTTGGGTTTATTTGAGTGTGTTTTAGAGTTTTGCGTCATTCGTTTGCAGAGCATTTCGCTGCTTCTTTGCACATCTGCAGCAGTAAATGTTTGACTTATAGAGACAGTGCAGTGCAGTGCCATTATGGAAAATGAATCTTATTCTCTTATCATTTACAGATTTTTGAAGATTTGTATCATTTGTCTTTTGTGGTTTAAAATGAGAAATTATTTTCACTGCAGATTGAGCAATAATAACTACTTTTCTCAGTCATGTTCCCAAACATCAGCTTTAAAGGATAACTGGGGATCCCAATGCTTGTATAATACTTTTCAATGCTGCTTTTTTTAAAGTTGTGGTTTGTGTGGGTATACATGCAAAGGAATCCTAACAGCACAGGGGTGAAACATGTGAGCTTCCTGTCCATCAGACAGGCAGTCCTAGAGGACAGTCGGTGTCTGCTGTCGTTTCAGACAGTTAATTTCAGTCTATTAGGTCATAGATGTTTCTTTCACAAGGACACTCTATATTCTGATCCCAGGTCAGCCGTGCAAAGTAAAAATAACCAGTATGAAATGTTGACAAATCAGCGCTGTGCTTAAGTCACTTCTAAATCTTTCAGAACGTCAAAACATTCTAAATATCAGACAGTGATAACCTGATATACATAAAGGAGTTTTTATAAACTTGTATTCATTTATTACAGAACAGCGTCTAAACCACCCATGTGAAAAATTCCTTTTTGCTTTTGTTAAAGAGCGATTTAAATACGGAAAGAGGAAACAATTTTTGCAGAGCGGACTTCAAATTCAGGACTCAAGCCTCCACAACCATGAAATGTCTTAAAGAGAACCTTTCTGACAACATGAAGTAGGAAAAAAGTATCTAATGATACTTCAGTTCAGAGTTTAACTTTAACTCTGGTATGACTTTGAAGAAACAAGATTAAACTCTCCAAAGCAAATGCAACTACATCCTGAACAAATTAATTTAAATATATAAATATCCATCCATCCATTTTCTTACAGGCTTAATCCCAAGTGGGGTTACGACGGGTGCTGGTGCCTATCTCCAGCTGTCTACGGGCGAGAGGCAGGGTACACCCTAGACAAGTCGCCAGTCCATCGCAGGACTGTAATTTATATATTTTTTTTACACTTTTGGTATCACTGCTGCTCAAGGTGGGTCACTCTGTCAGCTAAGATTAAAGTCGGAGATTAAAGTCAGAATTCTGAGGAAAGAGTCAGTATGCTGAGATTGAAGTCAGTATTCTGAGATTAAAGTCAGTATTCTGAGATTAAAGTCAGTATTCTGAGATTAAAGTCAGTAGTCTGAGATTAAAGTCAGTAGTCTGAGATTAAAGTAAGTAGTCTGAGATTAAAGTAAGTAGTCTGAGATTAAAGTAAGTAGTCTGAGATTAAAGTCAGTAGTCTGAGATTAGAGTCAGTATTCTGAGATTAGAGTCAGTATTCTGAGATTAGAGTCAGTATTCTGAGATTAAAGTCAGAATTCCGAGATTAAATTCAGTATTCTGAGATTAGAGTCAGTATTCTGAGATTAAAGTCAGTATTCTGAGATTAAAGTCAGTATTCTGAGATTAGAGTCAGTATTCTGAGATTAAAGTCAGTATTCTGAGAATAGAGTGAGTATTCTGAGAATAGAGTCAGTATTCTGAGATTAAAGTCAGAATTCCGAGATTAAATTCAGTATTCTGAGATTAAAGTCAGAATTCCGAGATTAAATTCAGTATTCTGAGATTAAAGTCAGTATTCTGAGATTAAAGTCAGTATTCTGAGATTAAACTCTAGACAAGTCGCCAGTCCATCGCAGGACTATAATTTACATATTTTTTTTTACACTTTTGGTATCACTGCTGCTCAAGGTGGGTCACTCTGTCAGCTAAGATTAAAGTTGGAGATTAAAGTCAGAATTCTGAGGAAAGAGTCAGTATGCTGAGATTGAAGTCAGTTTTCTGAGATTAAAGTCAGTATTCTGAGATTAAAGTCAGTATTCTGAGATTAAAGTCAGAATTCCGAGATTAAATTCAGTATTCTGAGATTAGAGTCAGTATTCTGAGATTAAAGTCAGTATTCTGAGATTAGAGTCAGTATTCTGAGATTAAAGTCAGTATTCTGAGAATAGAGTGATTATTCTGAGAATAGAGTCAGTATTCTGAGATTAAAGTCAGAATTCCGAGATTAAATTCAGTATTCTGAGATTAAAGTCAGAATTCCGAGATTAAATTCAGTATTCTGAGATTAAAGTCAGTATTCTGAGATTAAAGTCAGTATTCTGAGATTAAAGTCAGTATTCTGAGAATAGAGTGAGTATTCTGAGAATAGAGTGAGTATTCTGAGAATAGAGTGAGTATTCTGAGAATAGAGTGAGTATTCTGAGAATAGAGTCAGAATTCTGAGATTAAAGTCAGAAGTCTCAGATTAAAGTTGGAATTCTGAGATCAAAGTCAGAATTCTGACCTTTTCCCATATTAAACTAAAATAAGATAGTAATTTAGATTTTTCTCAGTGGCCCTAATCCTCTTCCTAACATTGAACTTCATTTCTGACTTTTAAATGTTGTTTTATAGAGAGTTTGATGAATCTTTAATGCTAAAGCATCCCAAGCAGGTTGTGTTTTAGTGATTGTGGTGGTAAATGGGTGGTGAAACCCACCTCCTCAGAATGTTTTCTCAGCGCTTTCTCTCGTTCATACTGAGTGACCAGTTGCTCGTTGTCCTCCTTCAGCAGCTCCAGCTCCACGACGTGCTCCTTGTTGGCGGCGAACACCGAGTCCAGGTTCTCCAGCAGCCCGACCACCAGCGGCATCATATCCTTCACCACATCCTCGTCGTACCTCTCGATGAGCCGCTCAAACTCTCGGTAAATGGAGCTGGCCAAACCGGCGACCCGTTCGGACATGACGTCCGAGTCCCCGGTGTCGTCCTGGTAGAGGACTACGTCGTCCAGCTCCATGTTTTTTTAAGCCGTTACTTCTTCTCCGGCTAACGTTATGGAGCTAGCCACCCGCCGCTCGCGACTGTCCGGAGGCAGGTCGCTTTTATACTTTACGCGCAACGAAGCGACTGTTGTTTCCCTCTATAACATGGCTCGAAAGTTGTTTCCAGTCTGTAGGAGAGGTTGTCTGTCAGAAACAAAGTCTCTGCTATGTTTTCGTAGTGACGGCTGACTCAGGAGCCGCGCTAGCCTATTAGCTCGCAGTGTTGAAAAGTCTTTACTTTGCTCCTGATTAGTTTCCCTGTCCAACAGATGAGCTGCTGCTGCTGCGTTCACGTCCACTCTGGATATGGGAGAGACACAAAGTATTGAACTACCAATAAAACAGAAACATCGCACAAACTACTGTTTGCACGTTATTTAATAGCAGCTGAACTCGCTTTGACTCAAAACCATATCTTTATTTCAGTTTATATATATCCCGGGGATGGCCAAGTGACGTCTGGAAGGCGGAGAAAAAGTGCGTGAAACGAATCAAACCCACAGCAACACCGAGAGGTTCAAGACAAACCTTGTTCTTTTTAATGTAACATATTCGCTCATTCTAAAAGTAAATAAAAAAGAAAAAAGAAAAGTTTAACTATCCCATGGCAATTCCTATGTTTTAACGTGATTAAAAACATAAATAGGTGTATTCTTCCGAGTTTTAAAACAGGGATTTCCAGCATCCCCTGAACATAAGTTGGTGCCTGAACTCAATCGTGACGTCACGCACTGATATAGGGTGAGAAATAATAATCCATACATTCCAAAACGTCCCCCAACTTCAAATGTTTCTTGCTTGAATTTAAAGACTACATGAAAACCTTTACATTAATTGATTCTAAACAAAGCACCACATCCACAGATATATTTGAAAGATTTTTCAAAGAATAATGTAAGAACACTCCTTTTCATTATTTTCTTTCTTTATTTATTTTTTGTCGTTAGAGCACCTGTCTAATGTTCTATGTAACAATATGTCTGTATGTTTGTACAAAATTTTCAATAAAGTTCTAAAAAAAAAATTTAAATAAATAAATAATCTATACAAACAAGGACATTTCAATGATTTAAATAAAAACTTCAAAGTTAAATGATTTAAAATTAGTAATTGTAATTTCGTTTTTACAAAATCACCTTTAAAACCATCCAAATTTCACCAGACAAAATATCATGATTAGACACTTTAATCATGCTTTTTTAAAGCATGCCTTTACATAATTTTTATTTATGTGCATATATATATATATATATATATATATATATATATATATATATATATATATATATATATATATATATATATATATATATATATATATAAACCCTTTTAAATGAAGAGCATTGAAAAAAATGCAACATTTGTGGTGGAAACAAAACAACGGATGTTGATCTTTGTAAATATTTAAGGATTTAGGAGGAACTGTTTATTTTAACAAACAAAATGGAAGAGACATTATTACATCACTTATCTAAATACCCATCTTTGGAGGGGACTTTAACATGTTGCCAAGTAATTTTAACATTTGTTGACCCACAAGACAAGATAGCAGTTCTTATGATTATAATCCAAACCTTTTAATAGAAAAATGTCAAACTGACATCTGGAGATTTTAAAAATAATATACTTTGTCTAATAAATCTCTATCAAGGATTGACTATATTGGCTCATCTAAAGAAATAAACAACTATTTATATCTATCCATTTTTATACTTGTTTGTAAGCATTTTAAATCCTCCAAACCAAAGCCTAATATTAGAATTCCTAAACAGAAATATATTTTCCTAAAAATTTGAATGCCTCATTTCATATTTCTGAAGCAAAGCCTAAAAGGAAAAAAAGCTTTCTGTCTTAACTGGGAATTGTTAAAATATGATATTTCAGAATTTCTAAGGACATTTTTTATGGATATTAAAGCTGAACATGATGAGATACAGCTTCAGCTGGATGGGGTTTATAAAAGCAGTGCTGGAGGAGCTTATATTAGATTACAGATAAATAGTGGGGGAGAGGAAAGTGAACAGAAGTCTGCGTACTTGCTCCAATCAAGAGTCAGCTAATCAGAAGATTCCCACAATTACAATGAACCCACTACCACCTTGGCAGGGCTGTTAACATATGGTATAAACACTAACATATACTTATAACAATTACATAAGTCATTATCTACAATCTTTGCATGTTTAATTTAACATTAAATTTAATACACTACATTTCATGTGTTTTATCGGTTAGTTGGAAATTAAACTATTCATTACTTTTATGTATTATACCGGTATATACTATTACATATTTGTATTATATTATCCCATGTGTAGTATATATCATCCAGTACTGCAGAGAGTAATAATATTAACTAATAAAATATTTATAATAAAAGTTTCATTAGGTTTGTAATTTTTGTTTCAAAAACCTGATCCAGCATTGTCCAAAAAATTATCTGTGGTGCAAGAACTACAACAAATAGCAAATGAAACAGATAAATAAAAATAATAAAATCAATTGTACAAGAGAAGAAATTATAAAATAAACAAATAACTTACCAAGCACATCGAGTAAAAGAAAAGCTACCTAAAAACAGATAAAATGGTTTAAAAATTTCGACCTGAAACCTCTAAATGTCTATAAATATATGCATAAGCTCTGTATAAAAAGATAAATATTTACAAACAATTTTTAGTAATTTTAGTATGTTGAGTTGAGAGTGACTTTAACTGTAGCATAACAAAAGATTAAAAGTTATATCCAATAAATAGATTTTAAAAAGCAAGCAAGACAAAAATCTGTATCTTAATTATTACTGATTTATATATGATCAAAGTATATTTTAAATCAGTTTGTTAATCTGCTGACATGCCTCTATATCCGATGTTGTTAATCTATGTTTCTCAACTCAACTAAATGTCATCAAATCCAAAATTTGTTACTTATTTTTACCGAAAGTCTGGTTTTATCCCCACCTTCTGTTTCCTACTGGAACAGCAATGTGCAGAATCTTAATTGGCTACACATCTGGTTCCTACAACATATTTCTTTTCTCACTAACAAAATCTAAGAAGATTATTTTAAATCAATTCATTTTTTTATCATTTTATCCAATCAAGCACAAAGCGGATTTATTTTTTACTGTAAGCTTCTAATAATCTTTTTTAAAAATTGTGTCCCTCTATATGTGGCCCCTCTTTGCTCTGATGACAGTCGGTGGTTGCAGTCGGTGGTTGTTCATGCTTCCTGGTTTCAGGGTGAAGGAGGATAAATCGCTATAGGTCATTTTCTCTCCATCCCCCAGCCAGGGGGGGATTTACCATTAGGCAATACTAGGCAGTTGCCTAGGGCCCCAAGTTCCTGGGGGCCCCATAAAAGTCTGTTGCCATGTATGGTTAATACAACTATTCCTTATTTGTGCACATTAATTATGTTTTTCGCTAAAATGCCATCAGAACGCTGATAATATTAAGTGTGTCTCAGCCCCCCCTTCTTCAGTGTCCACCATATTGGATCAGTCCATCTGCTGCACATGTTCAGAAAGGTCCAAACAGACAGCAGCAAACCATTTGAAAACAAACGATGCAAAGAGCAGTGCTGCCAACTTAGCGCTTTAGTCGCTATATTTAGCCACTTTTCAGACCCCTCTAGCACTTTGATTTCTAAAAAGCTCCTAGCGCCAAATCTAGAGACTTTTTTCTGCTACTGGAGACTTTGGAGACAACATATAAAAGCAGCGAACTCTGCTCTCCAGAGCAAGTAGATTGGTAACCCCGCCTCCTGCTCTCCTCTATCTTGTCTGCTGTCATGATTCATGCAGCTATTATTTCATCCAAATGAAAAATGGAGAAAAGAGAAGCAGATCATGGCTTGTCTACAGTGAAAAGAAGGACTGGGTTATTTACTTTGGCCTTTTTGGAAACACAGGAAGGAGCAATCAGCTAAGTGAGCTTAGTGCTTGGAAAAAATCTTTCATTCCTTGAGACAGCATCAAGTCAGCTGAGTACAAAACATAGAGAGGAAAACAAGAAGAAAAGGGACAAGAAGAGAGGGACAAAACCTAGAACAGATAATGGATGTCTATTCTATTAACATTTCTCTATCTGTAGAATGGGTCTGTTCTATGTGTTGTCTTCTCCATTCAGAGGGGCCCCTGCCTGTCTTTGCCTAGGGCCCCACATTGGCTAAATCCGCCCCTGCTCCCAGCTGTGCTTTCTCTTTTTCCCATAAAATCCAAATAAAATAACGCAGATATTGTGTGTGCCATAATTGTTCAAGGCAAGGATCTTCAACGTTTTCTATGCCAATGACCCCCAAACTGATGGCAAATTGGAGTGGGGACCCCCTAATTATATATATTGTATGAGATTATGTTCTATCAAACTGGTCCTATAGTCACTCTATTACAGATGGAGTCATGTAACCAAAGTAATTTCTCCCTGGGATTATTAAAGTATCTCTGATTCTGATTCCTGGTTGATGGGACAGGTGTTGTGAATGAAACGGTGCCCTGCTTGATAGAGCTCCTGTGTGTCACTGAATGTGTGCATTGATGACTGAAAGACATCTTCTGCCTCCATTTATCTGTTTACTACAGTGTGTTGAATTTATCTTAATGTGGATTTAAAGACATTTCAATTAGTGGAGAAAATTGCAGGAGGGAATATAAAGAAAAAGTATAATCAGCCAAATATTTTGCAACCCCCATTCAGTGGACCCCCTGTTGAAAACCTCCGGCTTAATGTGTATGATTACTTTTCTCTTTCAATACACACATTATTAATCTGTTCATTGGCTCAATGTCCCTCCTGACTTCATATCATGAGCATTCAGCAGATCAAACTCCAGACTCGATTTGTCAGCGGAGACTTAAAAAGAGCAAAGGTGAGTTTAGGTCACAAAGGCTTTTATTTGCATTCAGGTTTGAAATGCATTCCTATGAGGACATGAAAGTTTCAGAGACAAAAGCTTCTCTTAGAAAAAATAAATAAAAATATGGCAACATCCAGAGCAAGCAGTAAAAATTCCAACAAAAATGCACAATCTTTAGACATTTTTTTTGTTTTTCCTCTTCCAGCCATGTTTAGGTTTAGAGCAGCTGCAGCTCTTAGTGGATTCTTCCACAGAAATTTTCATTTAATTTGTTATGATGCATAGGCACGGTTCTTCCTGATGTTTAAAACAACAGCACAAGACACCCACAGCACAGCTAAAACACAACAATAAGACATTTTATAGTTGCTAACTGCCCATCCAATCTGAAAGCTCTAAACAGCCCAGTCTTTATCAAACGCACATCATTCAAACACAAAAACACTGATGTTACAGTCGAACTGCACCAAAGTCACATTAGATAAACAACATTCAAATATTACAGCATAAAGTCGCTCATGGAGGAACTTAAAGCTAAATTCTTTTATTAAATAATTAAAAGTGCAATAGAATAAATGATTCTGTGCTCCTCTTTTTTTATTCATATAAATCAGTCAAAGCTTCACAATCCAGTGATTGAGAAGCTTAATAAAAGACCAAAGGCTGTGAAGTCGTGGTACTTTTCCTGGAATTTGAAGAGGAAGGCCTGGCTCGGCGCTGCTCACATAGAAACGTGCGGATTGCTGTTCAGCGACGACGGGCAGAGGGGGGAGGGGTCTTCGCTGCACAGACTGTTCAGGGCCCGGAGCACGGCGTCCGGCATGTGATCCACCAGCATCCTGGGGCTGATCAGGATGCTCTGGAACTTCGATTCGCTGGACCAGTCGGCACGGTAACGCACTTCAGAAAAGCAGGATCTGTGGAAACCAAAAGGAGAGACGAGCAGGTTGGTGTTAAGATACCAGAGGAGCAAAAAGCTTTTGATACGACTGTTAGCATGACGGATCGTCCCAGGCTGGAGGGTCTGTGGAGAATTACAATAAAAACTGGAAACATTGGGACAAAGCTGGGCTTTTAGTAATCACTACAGCAGCTGTGGAAGAGAGAGAAAAGAATCACCCTTTTACCTGTTAGAAGACCCTGAGGCACCTTTGCACCATAAACCACATTTGGTTACATTAAATCAATGGATTTGCATGTTTGTAAAATGGAGCGTTATAAAAAAAAGAGAAATGTTTGATGCATATTTGCCTTCATTTACCACGCTTTGTTTTGATTCACCTAAATATGAAACAAGAGATCATGATGACTCATTAAAAGCAGTATAATACTAATAAATAAAGTGTTTTCATTTGGTTATAATCCAGCTGTTCTGTGAAGCTCTGGAAGAGTTTTCCACCTCAGGAGGAGAGTTGTACCTTTATTAAACCTTGACAATCTTTAGCAACTACAGAAAAATATATTTAAAGGAAATCAATTAACATTTTCAGAGGAATTGTAAGAGGTGCCAATAATTGTCAGACACATAATAATCACTTTTTTCCCCCCCTAAATGTAGGATTTTATATTTACCACCAAAGTAATGTTAAAGGTTGCATTTTTCTCTTTTATTGCATTTGGGTTCTATGTTGTTGAAATTCTCGACCCCATCTTAAACAGGGGTGCCAAAATTTGTGAAGGGCACTGTAAAACCATTGTTTATATTAAATCAGGGTCAGCATAAGTTGCACTCAACTTTAAAATTATGTTTTTTTTTTAAAAAAATCTTTTAAATATCAAAGTAACTTCAGTTTAAAGGAGCGACAGTGGAATTCCACTAAAGACCAAATTCACAAGAAACAGAAGAAAAACCCGCTTGTGACAACTTAACCCAAAAGTTTATTTTAACATAAACCATTGCACTTATGTTTCAAAATTTAAAAGGTTCCCATACAGGAAGAAAGCTAAAAACACACAAATGACAGATATATCTTAACAGTTATTTAACAGAATTCACAAACTTTATTTTAGCAGGGAACAAAACAAATCAGTTTAAAAGCCACAACATAACCAGTGCTAAGTCTTTTTTGCAGCTATTTTTCTTTGTATCGTTTTCTTAGTATGTTTGATTTCGTGATAAGTGGAGGCGTTGAAGAGACAAGGGTGGAACAAAACTGAGAAATACCGGCTGTTTCTCGGTAACTCCATTTTGAAGCTTTGTGTTTCGTGCTTCGCATGTACGACTCCCCTGCCTTAATTTCCATCGTTCTGAGCTTGAATCGCTTCTTGCACAAAATCCACTGTGCCTCATGTATGTTCCCTGGTTTTAGCCATGGAGAAAACTCTTGGCTGGAGCCAATTTTAGTTACATTTACACTTGCTCTACAAAAAGTAAATGGTGCATCTCCCAAATGTCCCGGCCGCAACAACGCTTTTATTGGTTCCGCTATCGGGACGGAACCAATAATGGCGAGCCGTTTTTTTTTTTTTTTTTTATAAAAACAAAAGGTCAATTTTAATGTTTTACTTAGATTACAAAAATAAATCATAATAAAAATGATCCTATTTATGATGTTTTACAAATTAAGACCTACGAAAGACTGATTTAAGACATTTTAAAACCAATTAAGGCCTTAGTTTTATTTTGAAGAATTCAATGCCTTTTAAGACTTTTTAAGGACCCGCAGGAACCCTGTGTGAATTTGTGCTCTAATATTGATTTTGTGCTCTAATATATTAAGATCTAATATTGTTTAGATCTTTCTTTTTATATATTTAATAAAGACCAACTAAACCTATTAATAAGAAAACATATATATTTTTTTATTTTTCACTCTAAATCCATGTGACACACTGGAAACAGAGGATTTCATCCTGTTGGTGCTTGGAGCTCGCCGCCTTCTTTATTTTTAGCGAGGCGGATGATTTAATGTTTTGATCCTTCAGCCAATCGTATCGTCTTTGACTTGAAATAAATAGATATAATCTGTCAGAGATCATCGTCCATTTTTGCCTGGATTGTTGGAGGAATTTTGTTCCAGAAGATTGTGATCAGTGTTCCTGGGCAGAAGAAGCCATTTTGCCCTTTTAATGGATCAGGATTGTTCACAGCTGGGATCCTAACAGACCCCTAAATCAGTCGATAAACAATAACATTTTCAAATAAAATATGCTTTAACTTCCGGCACTTTTAATAACTTTCTTAAGCATAAGCTGTTCCTCAGACAGATACTGATGTTTCAGCTCAGCTGATGTTCATTCACAGTAAGAGGTGGGGAATCAGTGCAGAATAACATTTTCTAAAGTCCACGCTCCATTTCCATCATATTAACTTTGTCTTATCTTCAGGTCGAGCAGAGAGAGATGGAGCCAGAGCGTCAGCTGAGGAGGAAATGATGTTACTGGAATGTCAGCTGATGTGTCCTGAGCGTCTTCATGACCCATGGTCTTTATTTTTTTGTCATCATAAAGATAAGAAAAGGAGATTAATCTGAAAAGTGTGGAGTGCATTTGTGTTTTCTCCTAATGATAAAGACAGGCGACGCTTCGTTGTTTAAAAATTATCCCATGTTTTTACTAAAATCCATCATCTGAGGATGAACCGCTCTGTTTTCCCTCCAAGGTTCAGACCTTTGGTGCTGGAGACTTTCTCAGTCCATTTCCTAACCGATTCTGGAATCTTCTTTTTGGACTGAGCAAGCCCCCGGAGTCAGAGATATAATATCGAAATATTAGTTTTATGTTGCTTAGCAACACTACTACAAGGAAGCAGTGGAGCAGCTTGTGTGACGCAAAGCTGCTCCAAAATTAGAAACAAAACATCTTAAACCCTCTGAACCAGTTTCAGGACGGAGGAAACGTTAATAATGAGATGATTTTTCTAGGTTTTGATAGTAAACCAAACATTCGATCACTAACCTCCTTGATGGCCCGTCCTCTGTGATGTGCAATATGCGACCTGGTGGGAACAGCGGCAAGTGCGTCGCCGTGTGAACCGGGGAGTCATCCGACGCCAGGCTGTGATAGGATGAGGAGTGGCGGACGATCAGAGACTCCTCCCCCAGCAGCGGCTGATTGAGCTGCTCCTCCCTCCTGCTGTCCATCTCTGTAGGGAAGTCGTCTGGGTCTCCTCCAAACAGCTCGTACCAACAGCCCTGCAGCAGGATGCGGTACTGAAACACAGACGCATCAGACACTGCCAGGCGCACCAACATGCTGCTGTATGCGTTTCTCTGAAAGGCTCTCACTTTGGGCTTATTGCAGTTGGTGACTATTTTCAGTATGCGTCTCTTCAGGTCCTCCATGTTGGGGATGCTCAGCCTGTCAGACAACAACAGTTATTGATTACAACATAAAATTCAGCAGCGATCTTCTGCTGGTCCATCGTTTCTTACCTGGGAACCAGGTCCTTCCCCAAAATTACAGACACCACAAAGTCCTTGGAGTAATCTGCCAAAGCTTTACTGTAACACAGAAAATAATGCAAAGATTAGCACTAGGTGTTTCTATTAGCAGGAACTAGTGGAAGAGTGAGGGAAGTCCTGCTTTACCTCAGGAGGCCCCCTGGTGGAGAGAACGAGTAGCACTGCAGGCTGGGGAAGGAAGGGCGCAGCAGGATGGCCAACAGGGCGGCTGTTCCGGCTCCCAGACTGTGACCAGTGACGACCAGTTTATACTCCTACCATCAAAGCATGACACAAACACACTGCTTTACCACAACACCTCCAGGCTGAGCTAATCTGATAAAGATTGAGCTCTTGTTGCAGTGAAATAATCACTAATAACTCAACATCCAGCCCAGAATTTTATTTAAAGTCTTTGGATGATAAAACTGCCCACATCATGACAGGTCCTCCACTATTTTTAAGCAGATTCAGCAGATGAATGTTCCCTCTTCAACCAGCAGAGCCAACAAATCAGTCTACATCTGTAACCCGGGTGACCTCGGTCCTTACCGGGGCGATGGAGAACGCCTGGCTCAGGATGCCATCGTTGATGAGCTTCTTGTAGATGTAGCCCGCAGCCTGGCACATGCCCTGCAGCAGACATGTTTGTTTGTTTGGTACTAAAGCAGAGAGCAGCTCTGATGGGGCCAAACGGCTCATCTGCAGCATCCCTCACCTTGTGAGCATAGCAAGCTCCAGACACTCCGTCAACAGGCAGGTTTTCACATTCAGCAGACAGGTCGGTCAGAACATCCTGTTAAACATATGAGGAGAAATAAAATATGAAAATGGAGATGAAATATTTACCATCTGAATCAACATTTCCCCCTCCCCCAATCTATTTATGGAGAAAAAAAATCTACGCATTTCAACGCAAGCTGTTCTCACTTCCCTTTTTCATCATTTTCTCCTTCTCTATGATTCTGATGAGGAGCTCTAGGTCTATATTTAGGAATCTAATCTTTCTGTAAAACAAGGAAGTGATTCTGAAAAGGACACAAGACGCAGCTGGAAATCAGGAGCAAGGATTAAAAACAGAAAACCTGATGAAAGCAAAGTATTCACACCCTTCACACATGACATCCAATTACTACAAATCTACTGAATGTTATCGGTCAGATTATGAACAATGAGGAAGAGGATAAGAAGATTTATAGATTAATATTAAAAATGTGAAAATGGTGGAATACATTTGTAATATTACACAACAGGTGTACTGAATAAAACATTTAACACTTTTCCAACCTAAAGATGTACTGGATGCAGACATGCGGGGGACAGCGCCGCCCTGCCAAAGACCTGAAGCTAAAGTGCTGGTTATCCTCCCGCAGCAGTGTGTCGCAGATATTTTTGATTCATGCCCAATATTGAAGCGTGGTCTGTGCTATGTTATTCCACGCCGCAACGCAAGAGGAACAATCATTGACAAGCAGTGGGTCTAGACACGGCTGAGGCGGGGAGGAAGTGGGGGCAAGTTTGTCCGACAACGGAGGGACATGAGGGCCAAAAAGAGCGGGGATCCAGGTGGAAAAAGGGTCCCAGCGTTCTCACACACCTCACTCTTCTAGCTGGTCCATCTTCATTAATTGTTTTCCACAATGGCGGTCATACACACAAAATAAGGTACCTATGAGGAAATATGCATAGTGTAGAGAGGATGTAGATTTGACCAATCAGAGGCCTCCTGTCTGCGGTCACCTACAATTTGAGAGAGGTGCAGCAGAGTGTCTGCGGAAGGGGCGGGGCATATCTGGGTTAACTGCGACACACGCAGACCTGGTTTCTGAGTATAAATCAGCCTTAAGACTTCCTTTTGTTTTGATTTAATTCTTTTTCCATTCCAATGTTATAATATGTTTGATGTCATTCCAAAAAGGAAAATTAAAAACAATCTACTGGATTTTTTTCAAATCAGTGTTTCCAGTATATTGTTTTTAATTTTCTTTTTTTGCAATGACTTAGACTATGACTGAGAATCTTCACTCGCGTACGTTTGATGTCACAATCCTTAAACACAATAACCAGAAAGAAAAGATACAGAAAGAATTCCTATAAACTCCTATTCGTATTTCAAAATAAAAAAAAAAAAAAATGTATAAATCCAATCAGATGTCTCTTCAATTAGATACACTATTCTGTTGTTATGGTCCAGCAACACCAGTGCATCGGCATGTCAAGCTCTAACAGGTAAACCCTCTGTCAATGGGCCAACTTTCACATGGCCATTAGAGGAGCCATTTTGAACTGACTGATGCACTAAACTGTTTTATAAGTGCATCTGTCAAAACAAATCTCTGATCTTTTGTGGACTATCATCAAATTAAACAGGACATATGAAGCAGCCTCAACGCAAAAACGGTGTTTCAGCCGAGTGGGTCCCTTTTAATCTCATATTTATTTTAATTTTCAGGTTGCTACATCCAGTTCCTCTCAGCTATCATTTAACTAGGGCTGTAACTAACGATTATTTTACTAATTGATTTCTCCGTCGAACATTTTCGATTATTAATCAGAAAGCCAAGCCTTTTTAAAGAAAACTTTTAATGAAATCAAACCAGGTGAAACTAAAAGTTTCCCACTTGAGGGGTTCTAGATGGAGCAGATTGATGGATGAAAAATATCTTTTTATCTTAAATGTAAATATTAATATTTATGTATATTTTTGTTAAAAAATTTTTGTAGAATTACAGCTCTAAGTCCATCGCATTGTCAGCTTAAAGCATGTTTGAAGAGTCTCTATACTGCAGTTTACGATTAGTCGATTACTAAATTAGTTTCTGATTATTTCAATAATTGATTAATCATAATTAATCCGATTAATTGTTTCAGGCCTACATTGAACTCATCTGAATTCAAATTGACTCTTAGTTTGCTGTTCATACTGTAGTTATCGTTTTCAATAAATAACTCCTAGTCCACAAATATTCTTATTCACACGTTCACTTAAATTTTCCTGTTGTATTTTCACATTTATGAACTGCAGCTAAAAATATCAAACATATTTTCAATTTAAACGATTAATATGAAATGATACATTTTAGCAAACAGTGGCTTTACTAATATAGGTAATCAAATCAGTGTCAGTCTGTCAGAGGCTGCCTGTAGCGACTTTAAATGTCCAGCAGGTGTCAGTATTCAGTGACACAGTATCCATAGTATCCTCATGAACCCATTACTACTATTCTCCATTTTCTTCCTTCAACTTCTTCTCCTCCTTTTATCTCTTTCTGTTTTATTCTTTTTTTTCCATTTTAGATTTTTACCTTTTTCCAACATTTGATATATTTTCTTATTAAACTGAAGAATGTGCGAACAACACCTTAAACCATTTTCTGGAGGTTTCCATTGTTACATTGTTTACTTCAGCCACAGAAAAACATTTGTTTGAGAGGCGTCTTTACAAAAAGGACATTTAAAGTCATTTTTTTCCTGCTCATTACACAGTTTGCAGTGAAAAAAAACAAGTTTGCAGAGCAGGTGGTTAAGGCCATAGTTTGCTCTGTGCAGAGCTAATAAGGTTTGTTGAACCATCAGATCCTATTGGAATAGTCTGGATTTCATCAATACTCTTGTGTTGTGCTCTTTTGGATAAACCTACTAATAATTAATCTTTTGCACTATAAATAAGACATTAATTAGTTACACATGTATTGCCCGACACCAGTGGTAAACTGTTCTTGTTTTGGTTTATCGTTTAAAATGTTTGATGGGTATGATTGTTTGATATTTAGCTAATTACCAGCCTCCCAGACCCTTCGCCTTGAACCTGGCATTACCCCTGGCAACCCCATAGCATTTTCTCTCAAGGTCTCCTTGTCATCATCGGACAATAAAAGCACAGGTGAAACTGAACTTCACAGACTGCTACTAAATTGTTCTCTATGGACAACTTTAAAATCGCCTTGGGGAGACCATACATATGTGGAAAAGCCCCAACGGCTCAGAAAAAAAAGAAGACCCCTTTTAGAGCTGCGTCTGGATGGCGGTCGGTTCAGTGGTACTTCCTTGTAAATCAAGCCCCTCAGAAAGCAGCTATGCTGGGCATTGGGCAGTGACAGACTGTGGCGTGTGCTGGAGGTAAGGGAGGACGATGAACAGTCCTTCTAGAGCTAAATTAAGACTACTTTTTGTTAAAGCCAACTAAAAACCTCTACAAATTTTAACAGATAAGAAGCTTAGTCTTGGTTGCATTTCTTTCACCTATGTCACAACTAAAACCAGTCCCTTATTAGTTGCAGCAACACAACTAACGCAACGCTCTTCTCTCTACATGTGGTGCTGCTGTTTGACGACAACTCAGTTCTATCGATTAGCACAAGGTGAGAGCGGAGCAGGGAACTGTGTTTGGTCTGAATGCTCTTGTTTGATATTTTAAGTCCCGATTGTGAAAAACAAATTTTTATTGTAATGTTGCACAAATCTACTAAAAAATGAATCATCTGAGGTCCCAGCTTACCCTCAGTGAAAGCGTTCCCCTGACAGCCACCACAACGGCTTCCCTCTTATGATCCAAAGCCACAAAAAACGGGATCTCGTATATCTGCAACAAACCAGGCCTGGTTAGACGGTTCTCACAAACAAAACAGTTCAGAAAACGGCCAGAAAAATCATAGGACTAACCTGGTTGTGGAAGCTGACATGTATAAAATCTCTGTACTGCAGACCCGTGGTTTCCAGGATGGAGGAAAAATGGCAGCCAAGGTGGTCCCCTCCGACGATGTCATACTCAGCAGCCCGGGTTCTGCAGCTGCATAAAGATGTTTGGGGTTAAACTGAGGCAAAGCCTAATGTAGATAACTCCGATCCTCAGAAGGAGAGAGCGTCTCACCAGTCTCCGCTGAGTTTGCAGGGTGCCGTAAAGGGGTAGGAGAAGACGTACAGCGGCCAGCCGTAAGCGGCAGCTGCGAATTGCATGCAGTGGGCCGCTTTCTCCAACTCTGTCTGCAGATCTTCGTCCTTAGAGCAACAAAAAAATACGTTGAACATCAACAGCCGCTTTGTGGGGATTCATTTGTTTGCATAGTTTTTTAGTGTTGCTCCGATACAGATTAGTATCAGGTGGGGCCTCGATCCAGCACTAAAATGGTGGTATCGGTATCGGCGAGTACCAACAAATAGGGCACCGATACCATTTTTAGAGCAAAAAGTTTATTCAACTATTGTCACCCATTCTAGGTAGGCAATAAAAAGTTCTACTCGATTCACTTTGTTTTAGTCTTTTTCCTGATTCCAAAGGTAGGCAGCAGCTTGATAAAGCCATGATGGCAATTATTTTACATCCAAGTAGTATACAGTTCTACATATATACACACACATCAATTTCAAACAGATGGTATCAGTATCGGCCAATGCTGTAAAAACCAGGTATCGTATTCGGGCAAAAAAAATAACATTGGTGCAACACTAATAGTTCTTACTGTAAACTTGTTACTTACAATCGGAGAGGAAGGGCTGTGGCTGAGGATCTCCTCTGGGTCTGTGCTGCGCTCCATCTTATCCTGCTCCTGGTGCAGCAGAGCCAACCCGGCTGCAATGTCGCTGGGAACCAGGTCTGTGTCCTACGGTTCACACAAAGGGAATCTTAAGCAGCGGACCCCATGTTTGACCCCCGGCCGATAAAGCAGAACCTGTCGCTTACAGAGAAGAAGTCGCTGAAGAGCTGCGAGATGCTGGAGAAAGCCGCTCGGTGGCTCTCGTCCTGCGGCAGACAGCAGCACAGCAGCCGCAGTCTGCACTCCCACACCCTGGTGGCCAGAGAGCGCGCTGTGGACAGGAACTGGCTGCTTTCGCTGCTCTCCATGTCCCGCACTCCCAGCGGCTCCACGGGCCCCGGCTGAGGACGGGGGCTGCCAATCGGGTCGAAGACGAAAACTACACCCAGCCCTGTGAACAGCAGGATGATCCAGCTGGAAAGATAAAAAGGAAAGGGTTAAAGTCGGATAACATGGGACTCCTGGCAGCAATCCCGATTTTCGGATCAGTTTTTTCTGTTTTTTTTTTTACTTTGGTGCCTTATTGAGCTGGAATTGAACCCACAACCTTATAAACATCTCCCCATTTACTGAAAAACAGTAGAAAGTTTTCATTCTGATGCAAGAATAGATGAAAAAAGCTCAAATGTTCAGTATTCAACATGCTGGGCAGCAGTTTCCCATCTCTGGTTGACTCTACATCAGAGTTAAGCTATTAGACGTTTAAAGCCTCATCCTAGCAGTTGCGTGCTCTTTCAAGCGTCTGTGAAACACTTTTCCATCAAATGGAAAATAAAATAAAAAGAAGTGAGAAAAGCATATTAACATACTTGGGCATTATATTATATTTTATTGTGATTAAACATCTAATAAATAAGCAACCAAAGGTCAAAGAAGCGCAGTGAACTGGTGACAGAAAAGTGAAATGGTGTGCTCAAAGATGACTCTGCACATTTTCAGTATGTTGGCTCAATAGAGCTCATTGTTTATAGGATAAAGCTTTGAGAAAATGAGAAGATAATGGTTAATCAATTTAATCCAGAAATGTATGGTCTTTACTTTTCAAACTACGTCAGGTGTGAACCCTTTGATATCTGTAATGGAAACAGATCTATGATGGAGTATTGGGGCATCAATTGTTTATAGAGGGAATAACGGGATAAAATGACTAATATTATGAGAAAAAAAAATCTAATGATAATAAATTAGTAAAAAAGAAGAAGACACTACAAATCTAAAGCATAATGTGAAATTAGATTCTCCTGAATACGTTTTAAACTTATCGCATCATAAAGCCAACCCACCCTAAGATATACACACAGACTTTAAATGGCACTCTAAAGGCTCCCACCTGGTGACCACAGCGGCGATGACTGCACCCACAGTAGCTAGATCACAACCGCGGCTGTCATCAGACACCCAGACGGCTCCCAGACAGGCCCAAACGAACTCAGGGATGTAAAGCACAGCTCGCAGGTACACCAGGGCGGGCATGGAGCGCCGCGCTCCGGGATTTGTAATAGTGCCTGAGAGGAATAACCCAGAGATACCAGCGTTAATCACAGGAGAAAAGGCTTTTCATGACACAAACATTGATACAAAAAACAGGACTTTCATTTGTTGCAAAAGTTGCATAAAGGTACCAGTGATTCATCACACGCTTCCTGCATTGTTTTACACAATATTAGCATATTGTGACATCCCCGGGGAGTGGTGTCCTAGTGGTTACAGCTTTTACTCTAAAAAGGTTGCAAGTACACGGTTTGATTTCCACAGCCTGGGTTCCTGAGCAAGACCCTTTACCCCTCACTGCTCTCCGGGCGACGCACAATGGCAGTCCACTGCTCCCCAAGGAGATGGGTTAAACGCAGAGGTAAATTTCTCCAATGTGACATCAATAAAGTTCAATTATTATCATCAATGTGATGGTGACAGGATGGATCTGTCAACTTTTTCTTATTTGATTAAAGCAGGAGTGCTCAAGTCCAGTCCTCAAGAGATACCATCCTGTATCTTTTAGATGCATCTCTTCTCTAACACATCTTATTTTAAAGCTTCAATCCCCTTATTTAGCTCAGCAGTGGTGTGGTAAGGAGTCACACATTCGATTCAGGTGTGTTAAAAATGGTTGCATCAAAAAGTTGCAGGATATTTTGGCGGTATGCACCTATAAGTTGTTTGCAATCAGCCAATTTAACAAAGAAGAAATACAGGTGCTGGTCATAAAATTAGAATATCATGAAAAAGTTGATTGATTTCAGTAATTCCATTTAAAAAGTGAAACTTGTATATTATATTCATACATTACATACAAACTCATATATTTCAGATGTTTATTTTGTTTAATTTTGATGATTACAAATGACAACAAATGAAAATCTCAAATTCATCATATCAGAAAATTAGAATATTGTGAAAAGGTTCAAAATTGATGGCCCCTGGTGCCACACTCTAATCAGCTAATTAACTCAAACCACCTGCAAAAGCCTTTAAATGGTCTTTCAGTCTAGTTCTATAGGCTACACAATCATGGGGAAGACTGCTGACTTGACAGTTGTCCAAAAGACGACCATCGACACCTTGCACAAGGAGGGCAAGACACAAAAGGTCATCGCTAAAGAGGCTGGCTGTTCACAGAGCTCAGTGTCCAAGCACATTAATAGAGAGGCGAAGGGAAGGAAAAGATGTGGTCGAAAAAAGTGTACAAGCAAGAGAGATAACCGCACCCTGGAGAGGATTGTGAAACAAAACCCATTCAAAAATGTGGGGGAGATTCACAAAGAGTGGACTGCAGCTGGAGTGAGTGCTTCAAGAACCACCACACACAGACGTATGAAAGACATGGGTTTCTGCTGTCGCATTCCTTGTGTCAAGCCACTCTTGAACCACAGACAGCGTCAGAAGCGTCTTGCCTGGGCTAAAGAGAAACAGGACTGGACTGCTGGTGAGTGGTCCAAAGTCATGTTCTCTGATGAAAGTAAATTTTGCATTTCCTCTGGAAATCAAGGTCCCAGAGTCTGGAGGAAAAGAAGAGAGGCACTTCATCCACGTTGCTTGAAGTCCAGTGTAAAGTTTCCACAGTCAGTGATGGTTTGGGGTGCCATGTCATCTGCTGGTGTTGGTCCATTGTGTTTTCTGAGGTCCAGGGTCAACGCAGCCACATACCAGGAAGTTTTAGAGCACTTCATGCTTCCTGCAGCTGACCAACTTTTTGGAGATGCAGATTTCATTTTCCAACAGGACTTGGCACCTGCACACAGTGCCAAAGCTACCAGTACCTGGTTGAAGGACCATGGTATCCCTGTTCTTAATTGGCCAGCAAACTCTCCTGACCTTAACCCCATAGAAAATCTATGGGGTATTGTGAAGAAGAAGATGCAATACACCAGACCCAACAATTCAGAAGAGCTAAAAGCCACTATTAGAGCAACCTGGGCTATCATAACACCTGAGCAGTGCCACAGACTGATCGACTCCATGCCACGCCGCATTGCTGCAGTAATACAGGCCAAAGGAGGCCCAACTAAATACTGAGTGCTGTACATGCTCATACTTTTCATGTTCATACTTTTCAGTTGGCCAACATTTCTATAAATCCTTTGTTTTTATTGGTCTTCAGTAATATTCTAATTTTCTGAGATGATTTATTTGAGATTTTCATTTGTTGTCATTTGTAATCATCAAAATTAAACAAAATAAACATCTGAAATATATGAGTTTGTATGTAATGTATGAATATAATATACAAGTTTCACTTTTTAAATGGAATTACTGAAATCAATCTACTTTTTCATGATATTCTAATTTTATGACCAGCACCTGTAGTTGCAGGACTTGAGCACCCCCGGATAAAAGAATAAAGACTAGAATGCTCATTTTAGTAAATGCATGAACCAACATGCAGTTTGATGCACCTTCTGCATGAACTGATTCAATCATACCTTTAAGATTAAAGCACCATCTAAGAACATTCAGCCAATATTTTCTCTATCCTGAAATAAAGCAATCTTTAAAGTCTCGGCATTAAAGAAGGAATCAGAATGACTTCTGTGGTTTATTTACCTTGGGCACTGACATAAACAATGGCCCACAGTGACAGGATGATGAAGCCCAGCACAACCAGCAGTCCAACCAGGTAGGTGTGGAGAACTGCTCTGCCGTTACAATCAAAGTGACCCTTATGAGAGGTGAACAGGATCATGGTGCCAATCCACCTGGTGATGAACAGCATCAGACATCAGAACTCAGTTAAAGAACATGTAATGGTAAATATGTGTAGGAAACGCAACAACTTACCAAATTACACGGAGCAGCAGCTCGAAGGAACCGGGGAAGACCAGATCATCGCTGGCGATCCCCCAGCGCCTCCCGAACACCACCATCCCAGGCATGATTCTATCTGATGCTAGCGGGACCTGCTAGCTGCCGTTAGAACAGGACCGTTGGGCAACACTGACAAAACACCAGGCATGACCTCACCTGCTTTCCATATAATCTGATTATTATTTTTTTTTTTTTTTTGTCACTTCAGACTTCTCTTTATCTCTGCCTCGCGCGGAGCGGCTAGCTGTAGCTAACTCCAGCTCAGAACTGGCAGGAAAACACGGGCTAAAACGCTCGTAAACGTTTAGGTTTTACTGTTAACAAGCTTTAAAGTGAAGCAAGAGATCCCGCCCCCCACCCATCTAAAACAAAAAAACATCCAAACATGGGGTAAATATTAGCTGCTAACCTTAGCAACCTTGCTAAAAATACCTCAGATGTTCTAGAAAAAAGGCTTGAAACAAACACAAATGTAACTCCTTATATATAGGCGGATCCTTAAAAAAAGCTAATGTAAAGCTCCCAAAGTGTCACATAATTTCTATATTAAAGAAAAGAAATTGCGAAATCATTTCCCTTAATATACTTTCAGGGTGCGCTCCATTTGTCACCCGGCAAAGCTTTGAGTGCCGGCGGCTGGGCGTGGTTTAAACTCCTCTTTTTGAGTGGCGCGTCTTTTCACCAGGCAGATACCCGGTTTATGGGATTCAGAGAGTGACAGAAATGAGATGTGCAGGAAGGAGCAGAAGAGAAGAAACGTTATTTTATAGACTTTTAGATTTGGGCATAAATACGGAAGAGGATTAGGGCCATTGAAAAGCTCAAAAAAAGTTAACTGATTTTAACTATTATTTAGAATTCTAACTCTAATCTCAGAATCCTGTCTTTAAATCTCAAAATTCTGGCTTTAATCTCAGAATTCTGACTTTTTAACTCAGAATTCTGACTTTCATCTCAAAAATTTAAATCTTAATGTAGATGGGCACCATGAAGGAAGAGATGTGGGAGCACTTAGCTTCACTGACAGAGGTGAGAGTTGTTTGAGAGAGCCAGTAACATATTGGTAAAAAATTACGGAATTATGTGACTTTTACATGCCTGAGGGGTCCCTGGAGATGCTATTTCATTAATGGAAGAGCAGAAAGTGATTAAAACAAGAGAGTTAGTCTCTAAAAAGACTCTGTAGTCTCTAAACTCTCGGATTAGAGTCCGAATTCTGAGATTTAAGACGGAATTCTGAGATTAGAGTCCGAATTCTGAGATTAAAGACGGAATTATGAGATTACATTCCGAATTCTGAGATTAGAGTCAGAATTCTGAGATTAGAGTTAGAATTCTGAGAAAAAAAAGTCAGATATCTAAACTGTAATAAAATTTTAAAATCAGTTAACCTTTTTTATTTTTTCAGTGGCCCCAATCCAATTCCTTACATACAGGATTAAACATTACTTTATTCAAAACAGTTAAGCATAACGCCAGTAGGTGTGAATACTGTGAACAACAATTGAACATGTTATGGTACACTGAAAGAAAAGGAGAGAATTGGTTCAAAATCTTAATAAAGAAAGAATACACCTTAACAGAAATCCTTAGAAAGAACTCAAGAGATAAGTGTTATGTAATTGTTTTTCATTAACTTAAATTAATCAGTGTAATTGAGAGGATTTGAATCTTATTTTGGTTTTATTGTTTTTTGTTTTGTTGATTTTGCTTTGTTCAGCGTAAGTAGGTAGTAGCCATTCAGATCTACACCCCATACCAGTTGGTGGCGGTAATGCACCATTTCGTTGCGTGCCAACAGCCAATAAAATCCCATGAAGAAGAAGAAGGCAGTAGAGACCAACATAGATATCCTCCATTCTGGAAGGTGGCGGTAATGCACCTATAAGTTGTTTGCCAACCGCCATTAAAAAAAAAAAAGAAGAAGAAGAAGAAGGCAGTAGAGGGGTCTGTCTGTAGCTTACAAGACAGAGGCGTGTTGTGCCGTGAGATACACTTTCATCAACGAGAGCGATTTGTTTGGTAGCAAATTAAAACCTATTTGATATCAATCTGTGGGTTAGGGCTATTTCTAAATGGGAAAGGATTTGAGTTATTGGCACCAGCCATGGTATGACCCACTTAGACCTACAAACAAGAGTGGAGGGACTTTCTTCCTCGTTTGATTGATATTACTATAAAATAAACATTTACTTGTTATCTACTCATTTGAAAGTTGACACCTTTCATTGAAATATGTTATTACAAAAATAAAAGTCAGTTCAACCTCCAGCACTTTTGGTGAGAAGAACCAGCCAATCCGACATGTCTCATGAAAGCCCTCCGCAGTCATTGAATGTGGATGGAGCCGCATAAAGTACAGTGTCAACTCCTCTATTGGGGTTGTTAAATATATCTGCCAGCAAAAAAATGTGTCCAATCTATCAGAACGAATACAAATAATGTGCCAATATCTCTTACTTCTGCCGGTGTTGTCAGGCGGTTCCATGGTGTAATGGTTAGCACTCTGGACTCTGAATCCAGCGATCCGAGTTCAAATCTCGGTGGAACCTATTGTTTTGATTTAGTGTTTTTTTATTTTAGCTTTGATTAGTATATGTAATTTTGTAAAACGATCGATTTTTCTTTTTTTTGCGTTTGAAGTCTAACGTATTTGATACGTTCAGTGGTGGAGGTGATGGAGCTGGACCAGCGGGTTGTTTATCTACAGGAAGATGTCACGCTTTTAATAATGAGTGCAACAAAAGTATTCTCGCATTTGTAATACATCAAAAAGAAATCTGTTTGGATTTCATATACTGAGTATTTTATCACTATGATCCTCAGACTTCTTCATAGATGATCTCCTCCAAAACCAAACCTGCAGGTTATAGATGCTGTTATTGCTCTTTTTTGTATCCTGGAAATGCCCATTAACTATGACTTGTGTGTGTATATATATATGTGTGTGTGGGTGTGTGTGTGTGTGTGTGTGTGTGTGTGTGTATGTGTCGGAAAATTTTTATCTTTCTTCTATTATATATTGCGGTAATATTCATATTTACTCACTATAAAAGTTTTCACTCAGTCTGTTTCTCTCTCAAGGCCACACATTTCTCTCCAGGCTGGTGTTTGTAGACCAGACATAGCTTCTTCCCATAACAAACCAGATTCTTTCTCAAGGTTTATTCATAACATGTAACATGTTAACCAAAGTGTGTGTAATTTGTTATGACTCTGACTGCTTTCCATTGTTGTAAGTAAGGGGGGCGAACCCTCCCTAGATCAGAACAGAGCAGAATGCTATGCCATGAAGGCTGTATGATGAGCTGTTCTCTCTTTGCAAAGATATTAATAAATGTGCCGACAGTGAAATCCATCGATCTCTGTTTATTTACCTAGGATGAATAGTTGAATACTTTTTTCCCACGACAGTGTATATATATCACTTCCTTATTTACTTCAGCTTGATCATATGGATGTGCTTTTTAATTTTCTACAATGTATGTGCCCCTGAAAAGCTTTTTATTATTTATATTATATTACTCATAGATGTATATATTTTCAGCTATGAAACCAACTTTTAAACTAGTTTTGAATTAATTATTTAATGTCATTACCCATCTGTTAATTTTCTTTAACTTTTTATGTTCCTGTTTATCCAGTTCTGTATGTATTGTCAGGATAATTATCATTGAAGATGTGTGAGTTTATCACACCCAGGTATGGGCTGCCTGTTGCATGTCAGAACTGACGTTTTCATCTAATTAGGACAATTCCTCTGTCTGGATAATGGATATACAGTTATAATCTTCATTTTGTATGTAGCAAAAATTTGGAAATGGAATGAGAGCAGTGTCCTATTTTGATAAGGCTGGAGCAAATGATATCCAATCATGTGTTAATGTGTATGGTGTAAAATATGATGATGCGGCAGACTGGAGGTGTATAAAATTCCTTTTTAACTGTTAATCAGGGCCACTTCCTGAGAGGTGAGCCCAGGGGTGAGCAGCTGCCATTCTCTAACCCTAAGCAATTTCTCTGATCTGAGTAAGATTACAGTTTCTATTAGAATCTGTTGTCATTTCTCCTGGTTATTTAATACATAGAAGTTATGAAATGTTATTTAAAGAGTTACCGAGTGACTTCTTTTCAGGGAAAATAACCGGAAAGATCAGGGTGCATACACAGAGCCTATCTTTAACAATATATATGGTTGATATTCCTCTCTTGGCATTACTGCTCTGCTCACTTTTTAATTATTCATGTTTGTAATATGAACATGGCTTGATAAAAGTAAATTGAAAACAAATCTATTCTTGAGAGGTGCTGAACAACACTTTAAATAGTGTAAGCCAGGGGTCTTCAAGGTTTTCCAGGCTAAGGACCCCCAAACTGATGGCGAGATGGAGCGGGGACCCCCTTAATATATATATTGTATGAAATTGTGTTCTATCAACTGGTCCTATAGTCACTCTATTACATATGGAGTAATATAACAAAAGTAATTTCTCCCTGGGATTATTAAAGTATTTCTGATTCTGATTCCTGGTTGATGGGACAGGTGTTGTGAATGAAACGGTGCCCAGCTTGAAAGAGGTCCTGTGTGTCGCTGAATGTGTGCATTGATGACTGAAAGACATCTTCTGTCTCCATTTATTATCAGTGTGTTGAATTCATATTAATGTGTATTTAAAGAGATTTCAATTAGTGGAAAAAATTTCAGAGGGGAATAAAAAAAAAAAGTCAAATCCACCAAAACTTTCGTGACCCCCATGCAGCACCTCAGATGACCCCCTAAGGGTCGTGGACCCCCTGTTGAAAACCTCCCGTCTAAGAGATAAGCAAACTTTTCTAATGAAAGGGAAGAATAGGAAAACATTTATGAATATTTAATAAATTACTATATTACATTATTTAATGAATTACAGCGCCATTATGAATAGGCCAGAACTAATTTCTAAAGCGCAAATTTATCAAATTAAGGTTTTTTGTTTGTTATGATTCATGTTCAATAAGTGGCAGAATTGCACCACAATTAGACAAAAATGGAAGAAGTCATTATAGAGTGCTGAAATCTATGAATGCCAAGGGTGTGGTTAAAAAGATCGAAGAGAGGAGACTATTTTGACACGACTAAGATTTCATCATACTGGGTTAAATAAACCATTATTTTTATAAAGGAAAAGTGAAACAGATGAGTGTATAGAAAGTAAAGTAATAGAAAATGTAGAACATAGATTGTTAAATTGTCGGAAATATGATGAAGAAAGGATAAGATTAAAACAAAAGACAAGACAAATAGGAAGGCAGTGGAATCTGGAAGGATTAATAGGAACAACAGGGGAGGGGATAAAGAGAATACAGAAAGTTTAGATAAAGTATCTTAAGAATGTATGATTATACAATAAGATTTCAAATATGTAGGTAGATAGATAGATAGATAGATAGATAGATAGATAGATAGATAGATAGATAGATAGATAGATAGATAGATAGATAGATAGATAGATAGATAGATAGATAGATAGATAGATAGATAGATAGATAGATAGATAGATAGATAGATAGATAGATAGATAGATAGATAGATAGATAGATCATGCTATATACTCCGGTACAGTAGGTGGCGGTATGCACCTAAATGTCAAGGAGAAGAAGAATCGCATCACGTTCATGCAAAAAAACAGCAGCAGAAGAACGAAGATGGCTCATTAAGTAGAGCAGAAGGGATCGGTGAGTTTCGCTTTCCGTTGTCTATGACGTAATTGACGTCCTCTGTCAGTATCCAGGAAGGGTGAGCTGTGAGGACGCGCCGGTGCATGGCGCGTGTTTTGAAGCCGCTTGTGGAGAAATGTCCTGGGCCGTGAGTAGTGAGGAAACATGAAGCGATTCTTGTGGGATGGAAGAGGGAAATAGTGACAATGAAGAAGGTTGGAAGATAGCAACATCAAAAAAATGAGAAAAAGCGGAAAAAACAGAGATCAGTTAAAGGGGAATCCAGTTCAGAACAATCCAGTGATGATCATTCCATACATTCCACAGCAAAACAAAATGAAAGTTCAAAGTCATATTCAAAGTCGTTAATCAAGCAGACTCTTTTACAAATTGGAATCCGGTTCACTTAACAAAAAACATCAATAAACTTGTCGGAGAAGTCAGAGGTGCCAGAATTCTGTACAGTGGAGACCTGCTAATTAACTGCAGAGACAGCGCCCAGCAAGGCAAAGCCATACGAATCAACAAAATTGACGGGATAAGAGTTCAGTGCAGCTTAATGGAGAACAAAAAGATCAGCAGGGGAGTCATTGGAGGAGTTCCTCTAAAAATTTCGGAAAAAGAGATTCTGGAAAACATAAGCGGTGCAAAAGTAAAAGAAGTAAAACGGTTAAAAACAAGAAACGGAGAAAGATCTGACAGTTTATCTGTGCTAATTAAATTCGAGGAAGAGCAATTACCAAGCAAAGTATTCATTGGTTCCATCAGTTATAATGTTAAAATCTACAATCCTCCACCATTGAGATGCTTTAAATGCCAAAAATTCGGACACATTGCAGCAGTTTGTAAAGGGAAACAGAGGTGTGGAAGGTGTGCAGGAGAACACGAATATGGTAAATGTGGAAAAGAAGCTAAAATAAAATGCTGTAATTGTGGTGGAGAACATACTGCTGCTTATCGCGGCTGTGAAGCAAGCAAAAGGTCTGAGGAAAAAAAAAAAAAAAAAGAAATTTGAGCTCGGAATAACCTATACTGAAGCTGCAAAAAGGATCCCATCTCAGTTAAAAAAACAAACAAACCTACAGTTCAACACACGGCCAAACCTCTGGAGAAATCTCCAAAAATTGATGAAGACTCACTAATTGTTAAAAAGACAAATTTTGTTCTTTTCATGGTGGAAGTGATTGATTGTACTGCACAGACGACAAAAAAAACCCCAGAAAAAATCAAAATAATAGTGAAGGCTGCAGAAAAATATCTGGACGTGACAGATTTGAACTGGGAGATGGTTGGAAGCATGATGGGAGGACCGATGGGACCATCAGAAACTGGCAGACTGACGATGACTTAAAGTAAATTAAAATTATAAGGGCAAATGTGATTTAGTATTATGTGGGTTTAAGTTACACAGGGTTTTTTTCCCTTGCTTTACTCCATATCAGTTGGTGGCGGTAATGCACATTTCACAAGTGTGCCAACCGCCATAAAATCTCATAAGAAGAAGAAGTAGAGAAGAAATAAAAGTAATTAAAGATAAAATAAATAATATGTGGCAGGAGAGATGGAATTTAGAAGAAAGAGGAAGGCATTTACATAAAATACAGGAGGAGGTAATCATAAGAAATCACAGTATAATGAATAGGAGAGAGAAAGTATGGATAAACAGGTTGAGGATTGGGCATACTAGTTTAAATAGTGGTTTAAAATGATAGCGAAACATCCATCAGGTGATTGTTCTTATTGTGGGGAAACAGAAGGAGTGGAACATGTGTTAATTATTGTAGAAAATATATAAAAGAGAAAGAACTGGAAAGGGTAATGGGGAGTTCAGTAAATATGGTTAATTCTATAAGGGAAGCATCAATCACATGAATTAGTTAGAGCACGTATTAAGTATTTAAAAGACACAATATTAGATGAGAGGATTTAGTAAGTAGTATCTGAATTACATCTCCATCCAGTTGATGGCGGTAATACCCATAGTCTGTAAACTGCCATAAAACACCATAGAAGAAGAAGGAGGGTGTTACGTCACTGTCATGGCGAAATGCATTGTTCGGCTCTCCTCCTTGCTCTGCAGTAGGAGCGCTGCTCAGCTCCGTGGGGATTTTATCCTCACTAACAGTTTATCAGCTAAAGTTTTTTATGGTACTGGAGGGTCAGACTGTTCGCAGGTTAGTAAAATAAGCTGATGAAGGTTCTCAGTCATCCAGGTCATCGTCATTCCGTAAAAATTAAAAAAAATCCGCTGGACAAGATTTGAAGACGTTTCGCTACCTCTCGAGGAAACTTTCTCAATTCAAATGTCTGGAACCGCAGTGAATTTGACTCTTATATAGACAAAGCCTTGTATCGCTTGGAAACATGCAAATGGTAACCGATGAATGGGCCGTTTAGTTCCATCGTTAGCCTGTAATATCTGAACCTGTCTATGATTGCATAGATGGCTTCCTTCACGCCCCTCTCAAACCACCTATTTTCTTTATCCAAAATGTGAACATTCTGGTCCTCAAAAGAATGTCCTTTGTCCACAAGGTGTAGGTGTACTGCGGAGTCTTGTCCAGAGGAGACTGAGGATAGTCTTGAAAACCAAGTCCAGTGGATATTTTTTGAATTTTTACGGAAAGTGAAAAACACCAACCTTTCTTGTTTATGTCAAATGATTGAACCAGCTTAATGTGTTTATCAGTTAAATGTCTGTCAGATTAATACATAATGCGCATTAGTTCTCTGAAATGAGACTGTTTTTTTAATCATCTTAGATTTTCTTTTTTTTGCATATTTTATTATGGACCATGAACGCATCAGCACATCATTTGTTTTGTCTTTCACAGGAAACACAGGTGAACCTTCCAGTAGGTAAATTAAACCTCATTCTAAGCCAAAATAAGCAAACATTGATGGAGTTATTCTTTATTTTATTGATGCGTTCTGCCTTATTGGTTCACAGAGCGTCTGACTGTGTCCTACAGCAGAAGCAGTGGTCCTGGAGGTCAGCACGTCAATAAAGGTGGGTCTGAACCAATGGGTCCATTTCTGAATATTTCTACTACTTAGATCAGTTCCCCATCCTTTTTAGACTGGTGTTCCCCTTTGGACATTTTGTCTTACCATGAGTTCCCCTCTCAGTCAGAAATATTGATGACTGCCCAAAATATACAATTAGATTAGATTACCTTTATTGTCCCAAAGGAAATTAGATTTAAGTACAGACTCTTGCTGCTACATATGTGTCACACTGCATTCACACATAAAAACACTGCTATAGAAATTCCATTAAAAGACAAATAAATACATAAGGAAGCATGTTGCATTACATTCACAATAAAACATTTGGGAAAAAATGTATAAAAACCCTTTAGGACAGAGGTCTTCAACAGGGGGTCCGCGTAGGTACTGCATGGGGGTTGACAAAATTTTTTTTTATTTATTTTATTTTTTTTTTACTTTTTTTATATATATATATATATATATATATATATATATATATATATATATATATATATATATTCCCCCCTGCAATTTTTTCCACTTATTAAAATGTCTTTAAATACACATTAACATGAATTCAACATGAATTCATCATCATTTTATTTACACCTGTCCCATCCACGAGGAATACGAATCAGAAATACTTTAATAATCCCAGGGCGAAATTACTTTGGTTACATTACTCCATCTGTATAGAGTGACTATAGGACCAGTTTGATATAACACAATTTCATACAATATATATATTAAGGGGGTCCCCGCTTCATCTCGCCATCAGTTTGGGGGTCCTTAGCCTGGAAAACCTTGAAGACCCCTGGCTTACACTATTTAAAGTGTTGTTCAGCACCTCTCAAGAATAGATTTGTTTTCAATTTACTTTTATCAAGCCATGTTCGTATTACAAACATGAATAATTAAAAAGTGAGCAGAGCAGTAATGCCAAGAGAGGAAATTGACTCGGATGCAATCCCTCACACTAAGCATGCTTGTAGCAACAGTTGAGAGGAAAAACTCCTTTTTAACAGGAAGAAGCGTCCAGTAGAACCAGGCTCAGTGTGACCGGCCATCTGCCGAGGCCGACTGGGGTTCAAGGACACAGAAGCAGAGATACAAGAAGCAGCTGTAAAAGGCGGCCCCTTCCAGGAAACATATGGGATAATGAATACATAAAAAAAGCATGTCGGTTTAGTTAAAATTTTGAATACCATTACTATTTCACAATTTACTGCGTGATACTGTTAATTGACAGCGGAGCAAATTAGTTCTTATAGCATTTCAATCTACAGGCAGGGACTCCAAGACGTCACCTGAAGGAAGAAACTGATACTCTGAGTAAAGAATATGAGTGGGATCTGAGATGATTTTCTGGGCTTGAGTAATGTATATATATTTTTTTAGGTATTGCGTTGCCAGGTTTGTACATCTAGAAATCAGTTTCCTCATTTTCTAACTGGGTTTTAGGTCCAGGCTTTGACTGGACTGTCAACTGCTGGCCAGATGTTTCGGGGTTTTTTTTCCTGCTATACGGCCACTCTAGTTTGGAGTCTTTTACATCCTCCAGAACATTTCAGCCTATAAAATAGCAATGCAACAGACTGAAGACAATCCTAAAATCCACATCCATCATATTCATTTCAGTACTTCATTCTATATTAATTTGTGCCTGTAGAGTGAAGGAATTATATCAACTTTTGAACAATTTTGTTAAAGTCTTTTCATTTTTCAATTCATCATGTTAGTTTTTATTGATTTATTGGGGCATTTAACCCTATCCACAATATTTGAATAATTTTTTAGAGAAATAAAAGCTACTTCTACTTATTTCATACATTTATTTTATGACGATTTGACCTTCCGTATTCATCAGCGATCACAATAGTTGGGGGGAAAAAAAGAATTAGAAAACAGCTTCTTCCAGGGAATCTTTTTATTTAGCTCCTTCTGATTTTACCCACAGCATGACGCTGCCCTCACCATGTATTACTATGTAGATGTATCATTCAGAGTGAAGTATTCCTTTTTTCTTTTGCTACATATAGCATCTAGAATGTAGATCTGCTATTAGCTTTGCTATCTGACCAGAGAGTCTGCTTGTTATTAAGCTCTCAGGTCATATAAAAGTTTTTGTTTTTCCCATCTTACTGCACAGTTAGCACTAAAGCAGAAGTCCGATTCCACGTCTACACGGCGGACTGGATCCCTGAAGCTGTTCGCCTGAAAGTCATAGAACAGGTTGGTTGTTGAATGGAAGGATTTCACACATGAAACCCGATTCTAAATAATGAAAGTCATGTTTTTTTTTTCCTTTTTTTGACATTGAAAGAATAAAAACCGTATCACTAAGGCTGGGGAGCTAGTGGTGACCTCGGAGGTGAGCAGGAGTCAGCAGAGGAACCTCTCCGACTGTTTGCAGAAGATCTCGGCCATCATAGCCGAGGCCAGCCGCAGACCCCCTGAACCATCCGCTGAAGACTTGGTTCTGAGAGCAGCTCGGTAACAACCACTCAATTAAGCAGGTTTTATTCACGTCTTCAGGAAGTTTGTTGAAAGATGTGTTTTACAGAATCGAGAAGAGGAACAAAGAGCGACTGAAAGAGAAGAAAATCCTTTCAGCTGTCAAGAAAAGCAGACGAGTGGATTTCGACTGACCGGAACAAGATTGGGCCGTCGTTTGGTAAATTGTAGTTTAAACCCAGCAGCCGCTTTCACTCCTGAAGAAAAGTTCAAACTGAGTGTCGGAATGGGGAAGAAAGGGGATTTAAGCAACTTTGAACGCGGCAGCATCGTCGGCGCCAGGCGAAGCGGTCTCAGCATCTCTAAAACTGCAGAGCTGCTGGGATTTTCACGCACCACCATCTCTCGGGTCTACAGGGAATGGTCTGAGAAGAACAAAATATCCAGCAAGCGGCAGTCGTGCGGACGCAAATCCCTGGTGGACGTCAGAGGCCAGATGAAAATGGGCCGGCTCATTCAGGATGACAAAAAGGCGACGGTAGCTGAGATAACCACCCGCTACAACCAGGGGGTGCAGAATACCATTTCCGAGCGCACGGCGCGCCGAACCTTGAAGCAGATGGGCTACAGCGGCAGGAGGCCACATCGGACGCCGCTTCTGTTGGCTAACAACCGGAGGCTGAGGCTTCAGTTCGCTCAGGCTCACAGGAATTGGACGGTTGGAGAGTGGAAAAACGTCGCCTGGTCCAGTGAGACTCGTTTTCAGCTGCAGCGTTCAAACGGTCAGGTAAAGATTTGGCATGAGCAGGAAGAAAGCCTGGATCCGTCCCGTCTGGGGACACAGGCTCAGCCCGCTGCTTTGGGTCTAACCGTGTGGGGAATATTCTCTTGGCACAAATTAGGTTCTTTAGTCTCAATCGACGACAGTTTAACCGCAGCAGACTATCTTCGTCTCGTTGCTGACCACGTCCTTCCCTTTATGACCACGGTGTACACGTCTGCTGATGGTTGCTTCCAGCAGGGGAACGCACCGTTCCATAAGGATGAAGTGGTCTCCAGCTGGTTCCAGGAGCATAAAAACCAGTTTTCAGTACTCCAGTGGCCTCCACAGTCTCCAGATCTTAATCCGATAGAACGCCTCTGGGATGTGATAGAACGGGAGATTCGCGTTATGGATGGGCAGCCGACCAACCTGCAGCAGCTGCGTGAGGCCGTCATGTCAGGCTGGTCCAGGATCTCAGAGGAATGTTTCCGACATGCTGTCGAGTCAATGCCGCAGAGGATTGAAGCAGTCCTCAAGGCGAACGGCGGTCCAACCAGGTACTGAAAGCATCAAATAAAATGCAGCATTACTGCCGTGTTTCCATAACAACCAGCTGTTAAAATGCCTGGTTGTTTAGGAGTGATGACATTCTCAAACTGCAATGACTTTAACTAAAACGCTGAAAGGATCCGCTTTGTTTCCGCCCATCGCAGACCTAAACCCTACAGACTCAGAGGAGACAACATGATGAGTGTATACATTATGCCCTTATAGTAGTACGCTTTAACAGGAAATGTACCACTATTTTCTGAATAAACATTCAAAATAAACTGATTTGTTTTTATCGTCTTTGTAGTATAAAAGTATTCTTCTGTTTAACAAAAGCTTTTTTTTTTTTACATCTTTGAGGAGGTGGTGTCAACTCCTGCCTAAATAACAACTTTGAATACATCAGCTCTAATTTTCCTATTTAACTGCTTCCATCTAAAGCATCCTGGACCGTATAGATTAGACTCAGAAATCCCAGAATCATAACATGTTTGATATGTTAAAAAGGAAAACAGCTTAAGGAACAGTGGGGTAGTGTGTTCACATTGCTGGAATTTGCTTTGGATTCTGTATTTTCTATGGTGGCATGACCTGAGTCGGTATCTGATTGGGTAGCTGCTGGGTCCAACTCGGGGCTCAGACATGGAGCCTGCAAGAACATGTCCAACCTGCTCGTCTTAACAGATTTAGATGCTACATGTTTTTTAGTTGGCCTTCTGTTTTCTAATTTTGAGCCATTTTTGTGTGATGTTGCAGTCAAATGATTTTACCTCGACTGCTTTCTTTAAGACGTTCCTTTTCGTAAATTTTAAGATGTTTTCTTTCATTTCAAGATGTAATTTTCCTTTATTCTATTAGATATTGTATATCGAGTCCAGAGTTATTTAAAGTGGGAAAAGGCTAAGATATCCAGAACCAAACGACAAAACAAAAATCGTTGTAAAGCCTTTTTGCTGCTGGAAGGAAGGATCTGTGATTACGCTTTTTGTGCATTTGATGTAAATAGAAATGCCAATTTTGTACGCTTTGAATTCAGACCACTCGGTTCCAAAATGAATTTAGTTAAAGCATTGCATTTTTTTCCTTTTGGTGTACACTTTCTCCCTTTTTAGCTAATAACAGACCAGGATTTCCTAACAGAGGGGCAACAAGAGGTTGTTTCATTCAAATGATTTAATCAGGTATTTTTTCAGTTATTTCCTTTTTTTGATGATATATTAGGGCAGTACTAAGATATATATATATAAGATTAAAATCTAAAATATGCAACTATGATGATTAGTCCGTGTTAAAGAAGTAGCGTACTTTAACGTAAACCCTTTAAGGAATGAGCAGTGTTACCCCCTGTTAAGATGCTCTCAGGCTGCATTTGGGTGAGCTTGGTATATAACTCTGAAGCTTTAGTCTTATCAGAGCGAGTTTTTTTTTCTCTCCGTCTTTGATATTATTACAAATCTATTCTAATATGACTAATCAATTTATGTTAAGAGTGTTGTTATTAAAAATAATTATTGGCTATGTTCCTAATTCTTTCTATATTGGTCTGGTATATTTCAAGTTGGTGTAGTGATTTACAATCTTCCTCTCTTAATAAAAAAATATTTAATTCATTTATATGAAAACGGTGTGAAAAAGGAACATGAAGTCAAACAAAGAGTAAAAAAAAAAAAAGACATCCTAGCAGAGGATGGTTTCGATCCATCGACCTCTGGGTTATGGGCCCAGCACGCTTCCGCTGCGCCACTCTGCTACCGTCGACTGCACGTATGGACATATCGGAATTTATTGCCGTGCCATGTGTGTATCTAGCTATGCGGTGGTAGAACTCAAAACATATCATGCTTACACTACTTATTCTGATTCTGATCTATCTAAGCAAATATTTACTGATCGTTTGGTTTATGTTATGAGCTCATGTCTCTACAACGAATATATAGAGAAAAATGTTGGACTGCGGTTTCCTAGATACAACAAATAAGGTCGACGATATCGTCGGATATCGTCGAGACGTTTAGCCAAATAAAGTTTCGATTCAAAAAGACGAACGACCAGAAAAAGACGACCACGAAGGGACTCGAACCCTCAATCTTCTGATCCGAAGTCAGACGCCTTATCCATTAGGCCACGCGGTCGAAGTGGATAGTAGAGCGCCAGCTATAGCACAAATACACCGAAACGCAGTACGCAGTATCTGTCGATAGTTGATAATACATACATATGCAGCTTTTTCTTACCTCATATGTGCACACTTAACCGATCTGAAAGACGTGCAAGTCTTCGCAAATAAGTTTACTAAGCATCATTTTCAAAACTTTAAAGCTATAGGCAAATAATGCTTAAATAAAAAAAATATATATATATAATAATTTCAGGGTAGTTGTATAAAGGTTTATCAGGCCCTAATCCTAGGTAATATTGAGGGCCCAGATCTAACATTGATTCTAACCGGACCTGGACTGACTGAGGTCTGTCTGTGAGGAAGTCTAGCAGCCAGTTGCAGAGTGGTGTGTGGAAGCCCAGATGTTCCAGTTTGCCCATCAGATGCTGTGGGATGATGGTGCTGAAAACTAAACTGAAGTCCAGGAATAATAGGAACGATAATCTTAGTTTCATCTCACTGGGAAAAATCCATTAAAAAAGTAAAACATTTTTAATTCAAATTTTTATATTTGTTGGCAAACTTAAGTGGAGGGCCTAAAGATCAAGCTGTGTTCTCAGAAAAATCCACCTTAAAACTTGAATAGCAGCACAGTGTGTGGGGGTTTGATGAAAACAAAAACCTTAAGGACACAAATATAACAAAGATGGTATCACTTCACCCCACCAGTCATAACAGACATGGGAAGATGACATATTGGTTCATTATTAGGTAGAAAAGCCACTTAATACAACGTGACCAATATTTAAATATTATCTATATAAAAAAGTGCATTAGTAAGATATGCCATTTATGCTTGTTTGACTTTCTGGATGAGAAAACAGGGGTGAAGAAGACAGACATGAGGCCTACGATGGCACACCCACATTCATACATATTCACTTGATCACTCAATGGCTCAGAAGAAAAATGACATTTTTAAACAACGAAGCTTTTGTTGATGAAAGAAGTCTGTGTCCCTACATGTAGGCTAAAGTGATCTGGATGGTTGACTTTTCAGTTTGAACAAGTCAGTTCTTTGTTCACCGAAGATGCTCATATAGGGTAGAGAGTTGCCAGAAGAGTTATTTAAGAACATCAACACTTCAAAATAAAATTACTCTATTAAAGTTTTAATAACATGTCAAAAGGATTTAAAAATCTCTTTTGAAGTAAAGACAACAATGATGCGTCTCTGCTGACCTGGAGACCACAGTTTCAGACCCGCAGTTCTAGATCCCTCATGTTTTTTGCGTTTCTTTGCATGTAAAACTAACCTTTCAATTTATTACTGGAGGTTTTTGTTTATTGTAACCACATGTGTGGATATGGCATTTTGATAAATGTATGATAAAATAAATTGTATAAGATTTAGCCGGGTGTACCAGCAGGAACGATGGTCATAATGGAGGATGTAAATATTGTCTTTTTTACCTTTTAGCCACACAAAACACACAAAAACAATAAATCCTTTGAATTATTCTTTATTGATAGATGGTTCAACAATATATGAAATCTAAATATTAATGTTAATATAAAGAAATAAAAGTGGTAAAATCTAAAGGCAAAATAAATAGAATTATCTGACAACTTTATAGAGACTTACATACAGACATTTATCAAAATAAAAAAAATGAATTTAACTATAAATAAAAACAGTGGCGAAATGCTTTTATATGCTGTGCAGCATAGAGATCTGAGTATTTAGGATTTTAAAAGCTCTGGTTTAGTACAGTTTTGTGACACTAATAACCAAATTCAGCTATAGCTACTCTAAAGTCAAGCTGTCTAAAGAACAGTCACCCAGCCTCCATTCTGGTTTCACTCCTTAGACATCTATGGGTCATATCCAGGTTTATTTTTTAAAGATAAATGTTAAGTTTACTTATGTCAACAATGTAGGTGAGGAGTGAATACAAAATTGTTAGTAGGAAGAGAATATTCATTATAAGAAGTTTTTCATAGAGAAGGTTACTAAAAAAAGGCATTGCAGATTGCATAAAAGGTGCAAGGTGTTGCATGTTAGTATAGTTTGGTAAGATGGTTAGGTTTTATATATAACCCTGGTTTAAAGCCTATTGATTAACTACACAGTGTGTCTGTTAAGAGAAAGGTAAAGATAAACCTTTCTGATACCTACTGTAGGTCAACAACTGTATTTCTCACATGCAATCTGCCAATACCTACACCTTACTTTAGAACGGTGGGGATCAGAACCGCCTCAGAGAATGGTGAAACACCAAGTGGAGGGGTCAATGTTTTTTTTGTAGTCATTATGGTGTGTGCACACAGGGCCAAAGTACATCATGACAGAAGTAGATGTAATATTTACTTATTTATCTCATAAATCTGTTCCAAAACTTTTCTTGCTGGGTCCCCCTTCAGGTTACAAAAACTTTTCACGCCATTGATTACTCAAGACGTCTACTTAAAAAAAAAAAAAAGCAATCACATCAAGTTTTTTTTTCACTGCTTGACATCATTTGTGATAACTATCAGTCATTTTTTTATTGATTTGAAAATGTATTTCTACCTTGTCCCACTGTGCAATTAAACAAGCCCTAAATTTCCAATAACGTTCAAAAAGGCACAATTAAATGATTAAAATCGCATTAAATAATCAATGTTACATCTAAAATGATTAACTAAAATAATTGTCATTTTAATTAAAACAATAATTAGATTAAATGTCTTAAAATATGCATTTAAAATTGATAGAATTAGGTCACTATATTTAAAAATACAGATTTGAATAACTTTATGCACCTTTAGGGATTGCCAGTCTTTACCACTTATTGTCACAAGGTTTGGGAACCCCAGCACTGTTCACACTAAGTATACTGCATAAGAAGCATTTAGAAAGCTTGGTAGGTGTTCAAATAACAAGAAGCAAAGTGGATTTCAGACTTCGAACTTGGCCCATTTTACACAAACTTAAAATTCATCAGATGCCTCCAACAAAAAATAGGAGATTTTAGAGATATGTTTTGTGGCCTCTCAGTGGGGCGCCCTGCTGCCTCGCAGCAAGAAGGTTCTGGGTTCCATTCCTGTCCCAGAGTCTTTCTGCATGGAGTTTGCATGTTCTCCCTGAGCATGCGTGGGTTCTCTCTGGGTACTCCGGCTTCCTCCCACAGTCCAAAAACATGACTGTTAGGTTAATTGGCTTCTCTAAAATGGTTGTTTTTCTCTGTGTTGCCCTGCGAAGGACTGGCGACCTGTCCAGGGTGTACCCCGCCTCTCGCCTGTAGACAGCGGGAGATAGGCACCAGCACCCCTCATGACCCCACTTGGGATAAGCGTATAAGAAAATGGATTGATGGATGGAGAGATATGTTTTGTTTGCAGTTTGCACACTAAATAAGTGAATGTACAGCACATTCAGTGGGTAACATGGAGGCGCTTTAGAGAAGAGCATGGCACTAATTCAATGATCAGTCTGTGCATCAGGCCTCCACCTCCCATATTACTCTGTGACTCCAAATAGTTAAATAAAATAGTTTGGAATTGCATTGGTTCCTGTCAGCTCATGCACATCTGACTGATTTCTTTAATCGAATCATTAAAAATAAAAGGCTTCTTAGAACAACTGGTTTCATGCCTGTTAGCTTGTTTGGTATGAAATCAGACAAACCATAAACAAACTTTTCAGAAAATCATAACTCTTGTGAAATTAGAATTTGGTTACACTACACTATAGGTAATTAAATGATTCATAAAGGCCTCCTACACATGTTTTCTGAGGAAAACAAACAATGTATAGTTTGAACTGTTTGATTAGTATTCTTAATGTTTCACAATTTGCACAACAAAACGAGGCTGGAAATAGCCTCTGGTTTCCAGTGATATTGGACTATTTTAGTGTTTTTGAGACATGGACTAATTAGATGTGCTGCTTTTTAAAATCTATTACTCTCAGATTTGTCAGGTTATGCTGGATTATCGCATATTACAGAAATGTCTTTGATAAACAATTTGTAAACAGTAGTACTTTATTTGATTTAAAAATAATGAACAAACAACAGTTTTATGGCTTTTTTTGGTATTCAAACGTCACCCAGTTAAAATGACCAGTTCAATCTGAATTGAGTTAGGGAAATGGACTGGTATGGATTTCTGAATAAGTTTTATCGACTGGTAGGTTGGAAAACAATGTACTGATGGGTAAGATGTTAAAATCACAGTATGATGTAGCAATTTTAAATTCGTAGGGAAATCATATTTAAATGTCAAATCATTCTGGCTTAAACATGTATATAAATGTTCTATTTATCAGACTATATTGTACAAAAAATTTCTATCTAAAAAAGAATCATGTCTTAAAATCTGTCTTTTCTTTCGTTATCTTATGCAGGCCAGTTAGTTATATGTCAGCTTGTACACCTAAATTCGGCCAATCATATATCAGTGGTCATCTATCAATCAATTATTTTCGGTCATAGCATCTTGATTCATATGTCGCAGCTAATATACGCAACGGTTGAAATAAGAATCATTAACTTTAGCATTGAGTTCCGTCCCAGTGTTCACGGGGATGGATGTCTGTGTGTTCGGCAGGCGTAGAGCTAACAGAACTGGCAGCGTTGCGAGGCTAGTGCTCAAACATGTACGGCTGTAAGCCTTCTACACCAAACCAAGATTCTGGCGTCCTCTTCCACAACATCTTCATCCTCTTTTTCCCCCTCTACATAAAAAAATGTATGACTGATGGGACTCATCCATGACCTCCGACACAAAACTTTCCTCCTCTTGCATGTTTCCGCTGTCCAAAGCGTTCCTACTAGCACTAAGCAGCTAACTGCTTAGCAAGATGCTTCCGACAAACTGGCAACAATCAAATGTGCTTGCAAACCTTCCGCCACAACAATCCTGCCCCCTTGATAAAGGACTAATCAAATTCACTTTATTCCCTCGTGTAAAGTTGTGCACCAGTCGGTAGAATTTGGAACTGCAGCCATTGGAACAGCCGCTACCCTACGACTTTATTACCGTTCTATTCCAGACCTGGAAAATATTATCAATAGTATTAGTAAAGCTAACAAGATGTCAGACCTCTGGATGGGAAAAATTTTCTCCAGCCTTTTTCTTAAAATTCCAAAATAGCTGCTCTCATGTAAACTCTTTAGTCTTCTCACAATTAGCATCTCAATAAACTTTTAACTGCAAAAACCTTCAGAATGTACAGAATTCAGCAAAAATGCATACAAGCTTGTATTACTATTAGCATGGTCATTGAATATCTCAAAGTAAATCTCACAAATATTTTAAAATATCCCAAGATCCAGTAAATCAATGTGTGAAACAATACCATCTTGGTTAGAGTTTCTCTAAGCTTGGACCAATGTGAATCCTTACCAATACTTTAAAGGGAAACAAGCTATTGCTAACATAAAAATCATCTTAGCTAATTTCAGTTTGGCTAGCAAAGCTACACAGTTTTAACCACAAGCTAAAATCATCCTGTTTTCCATTTAAATCCAGAAAGCTGGGGAATTAATTGGGTGGTGGTGTGAAGTTTACACTTAAAAAGAGGAAGATATCCCTCCCTCACAGACTTATAAATCCAACATGGCTGCTGAACGTATGAACTACTTATCTCTATTTATTCACTGGATTACAGATAGCCTGAAAAAAGTGAAGCCATTGGCAGCCATATTGGTACTCCCCACTCCCACAGACATGTGCATTAAAAATGGCTACGTGTGTAGCATTTGGCTTGTGTTAGCGTGTCTAATGACCGATGAAGTTTTACCTGATCGATAAAAAAAAAATCTGTTTATGGTGAACAAAGTAACTGCAAGACCATAAAATAAAGGGTAGTGCTGTAGCTAGCTGTGCTCAGTAGCTAACATGTTAGCCTCTTTTAGCTCGGGCTGTTAGCCATATTACGCTACAACTTTGTGTTAACAACAATCATTCTTTTTCTACAAGTAAAATAACTGCTTTATTTGTCTAAAATCTCTATGAAAGTCATTTTTGAGATGTTCCATTTGTCCTTCCTGTTGGAAAATAGAAAGTAGAGTAAACAGAAAGTCATTCACTGTTAAATGTCAATGTAGTAATTCTATATTAAGTGGATGGCACTGTCATTTTGTAGTGTTTATTGTATTTCTCAATTGAAAAAGTCATGTGAAATATATTGTATGTTATATTAACAGAAAAAAGCAACTCAGACTTTTTAAAAGGCACATCATACTGACTGTCCAATGTGATATGCCCATTTTTTTTTTTATTATAAGTTAGTAAAGTAATCTACTTATGCTATGGAACACCAAGTCTGTGTTAAAGTGATGAATTTATCTTTCTGTGCATTTCGGTGTGTATCCCTCTAATTACACCTATAGTAAGATGCAACACATATCTGTGAAAATTTTCTTTTTTATTTCAATCCCCAAAAGGTTAAGAAGCATAATGTGTTTATATTGATATAAGAGTTATCAGCATAATCAGTATAATAGTTTATGTCCTGGTCATGGAGCATAGCGTTCCATTAGATGCAGCATTATTTATGAATCCCACTAATGACATCCAAGGCAAATGGAAGGAGGAACATTTGATTAGGTCACAACAGCTGGACATTGAGAGAATGCAGCCTCTATGAATACAGGATTTCTATGGTGGGATGATTTGCAGCTGACTATCCCTGAGCAGGAAGCAGAGAGTATGAATCATTGTCTGTGTAAACAGTAGGATACAATACACATATATGAGGTACTAAAAGGAAATTAAAACCAGAATTCAGGGAAATGTTTAGAAATTTAAAGATTATTGTCAGATTAACTGTCCATAAATTAATGTTGTTTTAACCCTTGTTTGCTTTGAGTTCTTTTATTTCCAAGTGAGCACAAAATGAAACAACTAAAATATAAAATAGTTCATCTTTAGAGCTGTGAGCTTGTCTTTACTACTTCTACATTACTTCCTCTATGTAGAAGTAAGGACGCAGGAACGGACCTGTTTCTCTTCAGAAGGACTTAACTTCATTGACGCATTGACGACACATCTTATCCAGACTCATTACAGACAATATTAGTGTTTTTATATTAGCACCTCTAGGTCGAAACACAGACAAAGACATGTTTAATATGGTGCCTTCAGAAACTATTCACACCCATCCCACAAACCTCACTGAATTTCATTCTGATTTGATGTGATGGACCATCACATAAAAGAATAGAAATGGGAAGTGGAAAAAAACAAAACATAAGGCATGTTTTTTAAGCTTCTAAATAATAAAAGATCTGAACGGTGTGGCATGCATTGATATTCATTCCGAACTTTAAAAAAAATCAGTTCAGAGCAACTAAAAATGTAAATAAAATCCATGTTTTGTGTTTTAGTCTTACTATGGTCGGTGAATCTTGTCTATTTCTAGTTTGAATGGCCTAGTCAAAGTGCAGACCAAAATCTGATCCAGAATCTTTCCAAACACTTAAAAACTGATCCTTACACTCAATCCAACCTGATGGAGCTTCAGCTAGCTTCCAAAGAAACGTAACTTTCTAGACCAGCAAAGCTGTAGAACCAGGAGTCTGAACACATCTCACTTTTCAGATTTAATCTGCAGAAATCCTTCATTATTAACTCTCTACTTCACAGTAATAGACTAATTTCTGTTGGTCCATCACATGGAATCCTAATAAAATACAATCATGGTTGAAATGTTGAAAGCTGAGGAGTATAAATACTTCTGTTAGGCGCTGTATATGAGATCAACTCTTCTCTTATAAGAAATATGTAGATATTAGTGAGACGGTTTACAGATATATCTTGAGTAATTGTTACATCTAGCCCTCCAATTGTCTTATTTTACTTAAACCTGAACTTTAGGTGCAATACTGGGCTGTTTAGCCACAGCTATGGTGTTAGAAGTGTAATGTGTAGAGCTAGTAAGGCAGTAAAATCGGCCATCATCTGATTTTCTTTTTGCTGCAGACTAAATAAAATAATAGTGGAAGAGAATAAGATATTTTCTAGAAGGTTTACTGGATTTGAGGCGTGTTTCCTAAGTTATGAGGTGCGATTGGAGTGGTTTATCTTTCGGAGGTTTTTGTTTAACTTAGTTCTGGATGAAATAAATGCTTGAGTTTTAGTAGTAGCAACCTCTATAGGAATGTGTCCACCCATGTTTAAATAGCATCGTCCTCCTGTTTTAGCGTTTGCCTGATTTTCCAGATTTGCTCGATTTCCCTACTTTTGCAGCTTTGGTAGCTTTTTGGTTTTTTGGATGCGGGAAAAGATCTCCTTGAAAAGCGCCTTGTACTCTGGAGTGTTCTGTCCCAGCCGCTTATCCACCGCCTCCACCTGTTTGCTGATGCTCTCGATAGCTTCGGGGGTGGAGGGGGACTGGGTGGGTGTGGGAGGAGGTGCCGGGATGGGGCCCATGGCGCAGTCTTTCATGGAGGGGTCACGAGAAACGGGGCGGGAAGTCTGGACGCCTGCGTGGCACAGGCTCTCCTCGTGGCGCCTGCATTTCCCCAACAGCTCCTCGTATTTCTCCAGCAGGACGTGGTACTGCTCATCCACCTCCCTGAGGATGGACATCCCTCGCTTCCTAACGCTGTTGGCGTGGATGGCGTAGCTGCCTCTCCTGCGGCCCGACGCGTCCCGAGCCACGATGGCGTTCAGTGCCGTGTCGCTGCAGCTCTTCCTCACGGGGCTGGACTCTGGTAAAGCCTCGCCTTCGACGCCCGCTCCACCATCCGCTTCCTCTCTCACCCCACCGCCGGTCTCAGCGTCCTCTGCCTCCAGGAAAGTGTCGGTTTCAGGGGTGATGCTGAGGACAGTCTGGGTTAGGGCCACTCCATCATCCTCGCTGCTCAGCAGGAAGGTCCGAGCGCGACGAAGCTGCTGCAGCTCCTGCAGCTCCACCTCCAGCTCCCGAACACGTGCCTGGCAGCTCTCTGCATCCTGGGATGAAACCAAAACTATTAGTGTTGCACCGATACAGATACCAGTATAGAGCGGGGCTATCGGTATCAGTGAGTACCAACAAATAGGGCATTGATACCATTTTGAGAGCCAAAAGTTTATTCAACTATTGTCACCCATTCCAGGTAGGCAATAAAAAAAGTTTTATTGTTCTAGTCTTTTTCCTGCTTCACAAAGGTAGGCAGCAGCTTGACAAAGTCATGATGGCAATTATTTTACATCCAAGTAGTATGCAGTTCTTCATATATAAACACATCAATTTCAAACAGACGGTGTCGCTATCGGCCAACACTGCACAGCCAGGTATTGTGTATCGGGGCCTAAAAATGGCAACACTAAAAACAATAAGAGATTTGACTTGGCTTCCAAAGGGAGGACTATTGCTAAATGGAAAAGATGATAAATGTCTAGGAAAAAACAAAGTAACATCTGTGTGTGGAAAAGTTGGAACAGTTTCACTCTTTACCTGCACTCGTGTCTGCAGGCGGGAGAATTCTGCGATCAGGAGGTTGCACTCCCTCTCCACTCCCTCCCTTCTTCCTCTCTCAGTCCGGACAGCGGCTCTCAGTGCCGACACCGCCTCCCTCAAGGGCTGGTTGTCTTCTTCATACGGCTGACGTTTGCTTTCCACCGTAAAGCTCTCAGCCCGGCCCACTACAAACTCATCCTCATACCTGCCAGGAAACATTTGCTTTTTATTCCACTGAAAATATTTGTGTGATTCTGCAACTATCAAAGAATTTCTGTCCCAGGCAGAAAATAGATTTAGTCATTTTTCCTTTATGCTACAATTACTAGACATATACCCCGTTTACACTACCCTTGAAAAACCGTGCAGAGACCGGTCCGAGATCAGAAACTGAGATCATTTATCGTGTGTAAATGGAAAGTAAACTGAACTGAACCGAGCTAGACCCAACCGGACCGAGCTAACTGCAGACCTGTTCCAGAGGTGGGCTCGGCTTGGTTTTTCCCTGGCTCGGTTCTCTGATAACAAGAGCGCATGAGCAGAACGCGTCATCTCTGTCTGGCTGCACATCCCGATTCACACTCCATTCCAGTAGTTGGCGGTAATGCCCCTCCGGAAGTTGCTTGCCAACCAACACAAAACAGAAGAAGAAGAACCACTATAAACAACAATTGAAATATTCTCGAAATCTTCTCTTCTTGGGTTTTATGGCTGTTGGCAAACAACTTTTGGTGCATTACCGCCACCAACTGCTTGATTTCCTCCTTCAATACTGGCAGTAATACCGCAGATCGGCACTAGGAGGCGAGGAACCGAGATAGCGTGATGTGTAAACGGTCGTCAGAACCGAGCTCTGCCTGGTTGACTGATCCGAGCTTGGACCGGTCTCAGCATGAATCGGTTTTTCAAGGGTAGTGTAAATGGGGTAATAACTGACAAAGACTATCACTATTCATTAGGGCTGGGTATTTTCGCCAAAGTCCTGAATCGATTCGATTATGATTCATACAGTTCTAAATCGATCAATTTCGATTGATCTGTTTTTACAATAATGAAAGTGATTCAACTGTGTTTGAAAATACTCATGTATTTTATTTTTTCCTGTCATATTAAATACAAAATGCAAACTTGTAAATCAGATAGTTTAAACTTGAAATGTGAAGAAAACTGTCTCAAAAGTGCAAACTTGTTTGTGAAAAGTGAAAAAGTGAAGCCTCACACCAGCAAGCAGACGTAAAACAATGGGAACACAGCAGGCATGCATGAGCTTAATTATCTTCCCTGCACAAACCACCCTGTAGTTCTCTGTAATACTAATGTACAGGGTGTTTGCTCGCCAGCCCCCATTTGTTATCGTCTTCAGTCAACCTATTGGCTATATTTGCAGCTGTCTGGCTTGAAGTCATCTTGGGTGCATCTTTCCCGCTCATTTGAATCTGAACGTCATGCGCGTCACTATAAAACTAATTGATCTCATTCCCTAGACACCGATTTTGCAAAAATCTAAAGGAATCGATCCAAAATCGATTTTTTTACCCAGCCCTACTATTTACATTATATAGAATATTGTTTCATATCGAGTGTTTTGGCTATAAAAGTAGCTTTATTGACAATGGCACAGAAATTCCTTTTCTTAAATGAAAGTATATGCTTGAAAAACACATTAGTATTTTATTTATTTTTCATAAAAAAATAACACCCTTCGCTGGGAATCACTGTTATTTCCAACACAAAAGAGAACTTTGTTTAACATCTCTGTCAACTTGCAACCCCAATAGTTGTCATGTGACAGGAAAGCTAATGACAGGGTAGCAGCGTTAGCTTCATGGAAGGACGGAATCAAGAAATAATTCAATGTAAAGGTTTGCAGAGTAGATTTATTTGTCCTCATTTCCCAACACCTTATATTTCCTTCAAATTATGAGAAAATATTGTTTTATAGGGTGTATTTTAAGTTTATTTTATGCTACCTCGAAAACAAAGATTAGCATGCTAATGTCGTGAGATTTTAAAACAAATGCCAACATCGCTATTTCCATCATTATATAATATATCTCTATATATAGAGATATAATATAATAATGATTCAGTTTTATCAAAACCACTATCGGGTAATGTTTCTACAAAGTGTGATGAGAACAACAATCACAGAGCGAGCAATGGCTCCTCTTTCTTCTCTTTTTGTATTTCTCTCTTGTGTATAATACTTCCGACGTTTTAAAAACTGATGCTGAAGCTTTCACAGCTGCCACCCTCTGGTTTGGGGGAGAACTGCTTGTTCTGCTAAATAATATCAAATCAAAGTTTATTTATATAGCACTTCACAACAACACCAGGAAGACCAAAGAGCTTCATAGAAAGATAAAAACATTGCAAAAAAAAAAAAACAGAAGCATAAAACAATGTGACTTAAGTATTAAAAAAAAAAAAAGGCGCGGTAACCACAAAAGAACGATCGCCCCACTGTTTATACCTGGACCTAGGGACGTCCAGAACCATTTGATCAGCAGACCGGAGAGCTCTGCCGGGGCGATGTACGGTCAACATCTCAGTTAAATATAGCAGAGCGAGACCATTAGGGGGGCTTTAAAGTCGTAGGGAATTGGCTGTTCCAACCGCTGCATTTCCAAATTCTGCTGACAGGTGCAAGACTTTACACAAGTGAATAGAGTGAATGTGATTGGTTGTTTATCAAGGGGGCGGGATTGTTGTGGCGGAAGGTTCGCAAACAGTTTGGTTGTGGTGGTTTCTGGGAAGCATCTTGCTAACCAGTTAGCAACTTAGTGCTAGTAGGTTCCCAATGGGAAATAACATTGGGACCAAGTAGCACTAAATTGGTGACTTAGAAACGACACTGTCAAGGAACGCTATGGACAGAGGAAACATGCAAGAGGAGGAGAGTTTTGTGGAAATTATTCTTATTTTGCGTATATCAGCTGCGACATATGAATCAAGATGCTATGACCAAAAAAATTTGATTGACAGATGACTGTTGATAGATGATTGGCTGAATTTAGGTGAACAAGCTGACGTATAATTACCTGGCCTGCATAAGATAACAGGAAAAAAAAATAGATTTTAAGACAGGATTTTTTTTTTTTTTTTAGAAATGTTTTAAATTTTGGGACAAGATCATCTGATAAAGAGTACATTTATATGTTTAAGCCAGAATGATTTGACATTTAAATATTATTTCCCTACGACTTTAAAAACAAGTGTTAAAACGGACCGGGAGCCAGTGCAGGGAGGAGAGGATTGGAGTGATGTGGCTTTGCCTGGATGAGCCAGAGAGGAGACGAGCTGCTGCAATCTGTAGTGAATGTAACCGTTGGAGTGGCGACTGTGGGAAGCCAGAGTAGAGAGCGTTGCAGTGGTCCAACCGAGAACTAATAAATGTGTGAATCGCCTTCTCCAGGTCTTAGCGTGAGAGTAAATGTTTCACCTTGGTTAAAAGGCGCAGCTGGAAAAAGCTAGCTTTGAAAACAGCATTTATTTGTTGTTTAAAGTTCAGTTCACGGTCGAAAACAACACCCAGGTTCCTGAAGGCATTGCTGACTGAACCCCCGACCCTGGACTGAATCTGCAAAGTCTCAAATAAAATTAATCAATCCTATAGGAAATTCCTGTTTCTGGATTATGATCTCAATCATCACCACATTCTTTGTTCCTTGGCTTTAACCAAACCTCTGATAGTTGATGCATCTCATTCACGCAGCAGGAAACACCCACCGTGGTGCCGTACAGAGCTCCCTCAAACATGGAAAGGAATGGATGGTTTTGCGTCGCTCCCTTTTCTCCCTCCTGACTCGGAGCTGCTCCATAGAGCGGAGCTGCTCCACCTGCGCTGATAAGGACTCCACCTTGTTCTGCAATGTCTCAATGGTCCCCGTCAAGCTTAAGTGGAAGAAAAACAAAACAAAGCTTTAAACAGATTGAGTAAGAATTGAACAGATAAAACGGATACGGAAAACTCCACATCCTTCTCACCTCTCGATCTTTTGCTGAGAGGCTTTGCTGTCCCTGACCAGCGTGTGGTTGGTGCGCTCCAGTTCTCTGGCCGTGTTATCCAGCTGCTCGTACACTTTGGCATGCTGCTCGTTCATGTCCCGGAGCACCTCCATCTGCTTAGACAGGTACTAGAGGACAAACAGAAACACGGATCTTTCACCTCTTAAACATCCTTTTAAAGAACAAAACATTTACACAGCTTCTCTGCAAATATTCAGTTAATTTAATTTATACTGCACCAATTCACAACAGGTCAAGGTACTTTATAGACACAATTTAACCAGATCATCCAGGCAGATTAGTTCATAGTCTTCAACCTAAGGAAAACTAGCTGATTGAAATGGACTCATTGGCTACATTCTCAAAACTTCTACGATCTGATCTAAATCCTGGTTGATTGGAAGTTCTAAATCTCTGTTTACATGGACAGTAAATAAAAGGATCCGATCATGATGCATGTATAAATGTACCAAGGTTTCAATCAGATTAAATCATCCAAGCATGTGCAGAACTGACTAGTTTTCCGTAAAGGGTTTAATAGTAGAAGAAGAAGGTTTTTTCTGCTCATCCTCAGCTGTAGCTACTCGTTCTGTCCGCCACTCACACTCATTCACTCATTCTTTTACTTCGGTTCTTCAGTCGTGTCTGTTGATGTGGTTTTTTCACTATGGGCCTTCATTCCATCAACTAGGGCTGCAACTAACGATTCATTTGCAAATTGATTCAACAGGTGATTATTTTTTCGATTAATTGAATAATAATCGGAAAGCAAAAGGTTCCTTAAAGACTTTTTACTCAATTAAACCAGGTTCTGAAGAATATTGACAGGCGGAAAATACTTGTCTCTTAAATGCAAAATTTATACTTTTTTATTTATTTATTTTTTTTTTTGGTACAATTACTGCTCTCAGTGGGTTTCCCTCTCAGATAGAGGCAGGTTTTAGAGTCTGTATGCACCAGTTAACGATTCATCTAATATTTAGTTAGTTGACGATTATTAAAATAATTGATTAATCACCATTAATTGATTCAGCCCTAGTTGCAACATACTTTTATTTTTGGCAGTTAAGTTATACCTTATGTAAACTCTCCTTTGCTACAGTGGTAGAGGCCAGGATGGATTCCAACTGGAATGTCGATCGGGAAAAAAAAATGACTTTCTAGTGGGATTAGAATCTTCAGTCTGACATGTTTGCATGACACACTTTTGATCTGATCAGGCCTTCAGTCAGGTTTTTTGTTTCAATGTAAACGTAGCTAATGACTCAAAAGCCATCCCTTACACACAGCATGCTTGCAGCCACAGTGGAGAGAAAAAACTCCCCTTTAACGGAAAGAAACCCTCAGAAAAAGAAGGTTTAAGGCTGATTAATACTCAGAAACCAGGTGGTCTGCATGTGTCGCAGTTAACTTAGATGTGCCCCCGCCCCTTCCGCAGACACTGGTGCACCTCTCTAAAATTGTAGGTGACTGGAGCCTCTGATTGGTCTAATCAACAAGCGCTCTAGACTAGGCGTATTTCCTGTTTGGTACTTTACCGGCTTTTTTTGTTTGTATGACCGCCATTGAAGAAAACGAGTTGTGAAGTTGGACCAGCTAGAAGAGCGAGGTGCACGAGAACACTGGGACCCTTTTTCCCAGCTCTTTTTCGCCCTCATGTCCCTCCGTTGTCGCAAAAACTTGCCCCCGCTTCCTCACAACTAGTGATTGTCCCTCTTGCGTTGCGGTGTGGAATAACATAGCGCAGACCACGCTTCAAAACCGGGCATAAATCAAAAATATCAAGCTCACTGCGACACACTGCTGCAGGGAGTATAAAAGCCAGAGCTATTCCAACAACTAGAAGTACGAAAACACCTTTATTAATCTCCCAGGTAAACTTGATGTTTTATACTCAATGTTTCTGCATAAAGTAGCTTAACATTGACGTAAATATGAGAGGATGAGTGTGAGAAATCTAACTGAACTGGAATGTCTTCTAAGATCCTTGGCCCTGTTCCGGTTGTTCCCGGGTCTGAAGTTGAATCATTCAAGTATGGTTAAATACGATATTGTAATGCTTATCCTTTTTTCAAATCAAAATATTTAAAAGTACTTCTAAGACCAGCTGGAAACAGTGTGTAGGATTGTTGTCATAATGTGCAGATATGGGAGCGATTGAAACGGCAGGAGGCTCTTAAAGAGACGGGAGGCTCATTTCAATGAAATGGCTGTGATTTGAATCCAATGTTTGAAATATAGATAGTATTTTCTTAATAACTGAAGGTTTCTTTGATATAGAATTGAAACACATAATAAGGATAAGGATTTAATAAGATGCATTTCACAGAATTTAGACATTAAAGCCTGGAATCAGTAAATACTTCATATCTATATTGCTAATATTTGCAATGTAAAATTATAAGAACTCTTCCTCAGCTTTGTTAGAATCTGGAATCAGTTCCTGCCTTTAGTAGTAAAGTGATTCATGATGGGCGAAACAATAATAAATGGCTTTTTGACAAAGCCTGGGTTACATTCCCCTTTGGATTTCTTATTGCTGGCATACTCCAAACAGAACTGAGCCGTATTCCTCTACAGAATCTGGCAAAGCTCGGATGTTCGTACCTCAATCTCTTGCACTTGCTCCTCATTAGTGATGTACATCTGCTGCAGAGAATCCTCCAACTCTTTGTTTCTCTCCAGTAAAGTCTTCCCCAGCTCTGCTGCCAGGTGGAGATCTGGGAAGAAAATACAAAGAAAATGAATAAAAGGAGCGAGATTCAGAGACCAGATTGAGAAAAATAGACAAATGAAAGGGTGAAAATAGCAACATCATTCATATTTTAGCCATTAGGATTAATGGAGCATGTTGCTCTATTTTAGGTAAGGGAATAATAGAGTTTGGGATGATCAAAAGGGTCATCAGCTCCTTCTGTAATGAACTGGCTCGGTTAAAGAAAAAAGCCAGACCTCTTCTCTGCATCACACCCAACCCTTCGGGTCCTTCTCTCCCGGGTGACTTAATATCAAGGTCAGACCCTGCTGCCAAAATGATTTCTCTCCACTGAGAGGCAGCAGGTTGAGAGACTGGATGCTTTACTCAGGAAGCTGTTTTGGCATAATCGTTGCTTTGGCAGCATTGGGACACAGCGCTAAAGCACATCCAAAGTAAGATGAGTCACTGTCCTCCCTCTCAGTTTGAGCTCTGAGTCAGCAGAGCTGCTGGCTGACATCTCCGGCCTTCAGCTCAATGCAGACTGCAGCTTCTCTGAGGAAACTAAAGCCAAGGAGAACTTCCCTTACATTCCTGCTCCTTATATGGATAAGAAGAGGTAAACAACAGCTATAAATGTTTAGCTAGCTTCAACCTAGTAAAGGGAAATCCTTTGTACTGTAGAACGGAAGAAATACAGAAAGTTGTGCCCCAAACCATGGTAGTATCACCACTGTGTTCAGTGGCTCCATCATTGGGGACATACTGCACATCATGGCTAAAATTTTAGCTAGCAGCTGTTTAGGATACTTTGTATTGCATTTTGCATTGCCTCCATGATGATTTCAGATGATGCAGAAAAGATTCCGAAAAATACACTTTGATTGTAATCAATAAATACCATCAGTGCAAAATTCAGCAACAGTATTGCTATTTCTCTTTTACTACATCAGGAGCAGCTATATCGAATACAAATTGTAACATAACATCTCCGTCAGTCTCAGTTTCACCAAAGAAAACAAACAAATTAATATTTCAGCTGAAGATTACATTTCAATGACAAGGCTAGAGTGACTCCCCCCTAAAGTCACATCCCTGCGACAGAGATTATTTAAGGGTAGATTATGCTTCTGCAACCGCACACATCAAATGTCGCTTGGGTCTGGTTGCGAACCAGTTTTGCAGGTATGCTTCTGCACCATCGGTCTGGAATTTCTAGGGACGCACAACAGTTTCCCGCCAAAGCACTATTCAAGAACTTGCGAGAACTTCGGCGGCACCAGCGGAATCTTCCAAAACAACAATGGCGCGTCTGCAAGATATCACGGTCACGGAGATGGATCTAGAGTTGCTAGACATCGTAGAGGAACAGGTTCTGTTATTAAAGGTAGGCAAAAAGACAGATTAACCTTTGGTCATAGTTGTCCATTGTAGTTGTTCCTTCTTTTTTAAAAATGGCGCGCCCCGGCACCGAATCAAGGAAAGCCATACCAAGGACCAATCACAGCTGCTTTTTGTCTGTGCACTTCCGCTTGAAGTCTGCGTAGGTTTGCGACTGTCCAACGCATAGTCAGGATTTCTTTGAAGTGGGTGATGACGGTTGCAGAACCTCTGCACGGGGGGTGTGGTCGCGCACAGAGACAGATTTGATGGCTGCAGAGGCTATGCATCAGGAGCATAAATTGGCCTTTAGGCAGGCTTCTCCCCCCGGGTCTAATGGCGGGACACGCCAGTCTTCAGCTGAAGCCATGTTACGTTGTCACCTTTCCCCCAGAGAAGTGGGATTTCTGCTGGTGAAAAATGGCTGCCCTTCTTCCCACGATTCAAAGAGAACTGAATGTAGTGTCTTTTTCGTAGCTACCCACTTGCCTAAAGCAGATTAGAAAAAACTATCCAGTTATTTGGCTGGTTGACCCCTCCTGTACTGCCCACGGAACCGTTATGGCCCAACTGTGTTACCGAGGTGCCGCGGCGAAGCTGTGCAGCTGCCTGTCTGAGCTGCTGCTACAAAGCTATCGGATCTGATCTTAAATATTGATAATTTTATATGAAAGTATTCTGAACTGAACGCTGACTTTGTGAAGTTTGTGTGATAATGAGCGTGTGTGGCTGCATATGTGTTGATTTGCTCTTTTCTCTTTTTGGCTATTCCTGAGGGGCTGTTTCCTAAACCAAAACGCAGCTTTGTTTTTGGTCCATTCTATAAAGCCTATAAATTCAACGCCATTTCTGACATGTTGAATTGAAAAAGCTTTCTAGACTTTTTTGGAATGACTTTGACCTGGATGACTGAGAATCTTCACCAGCAATATTTATAGAGTTCTGTCTTAATAACTGCAGTAAACAGGTTATTCTTTCAGCAAATGGCCTATTAAGAGTCTATATACCAAAAATATAGGTAAGTCAGATTAGATTACTAAATTAGTAGATTATTTCAATAATTGATTAATCTGATTAATCATTTCAGCCCTATAGGTAACCAGACAATGTTCCAGGTTGGTATTCGTTAAGGGCGCAGCTGTAAGGGAATCACACAAGGTGGAACACTCACATGTTTACGCCACTGGTCAAGAACATAGACACTCCTTCAGATGTACCAAGAGCTGTGTGAACTATGAATATCCCGTCTCACCAGATGAAAAGTTAAAAATGATAAAATGTTGTGGCTAAATAACAGACCGGTTCTTAGAAGTGAGAAGACAGCTTGGGATGTGGATAAAGCAGCAGGCATGATGACGTCTTCCACAGCTGTGTTTCTTTGGTAGGTGTATTTCACCCATGGGGTTCATTGGAATGTGGACAACAGGACTTGTAGGGTTTTCATTACTTTGCAGCAGACACTTTAGGATAAGCTTAAGTGACATGTTTTGTGTGATAAGTTTAAAATCATTGCTGTTGTTGAAAGGTTTCTATATCAGTTGCTTACTTTGATTTTTTTTTTTCTCATTCGCAGCCACAGATTCACTTTTTGGACTCGACCCAGCAGAGTTTCCTACACCCAAAAGGCTGCAGGAACTCTCCTTAATACACAACAAAATCTAAAGCTGAAACTTTCCTGCAGATTTTATTTTATTTTTTGCATTAAAAAAATCAGGGCTGCACTTAATGAGCATATTGCATATCAATTAATTTGTTGACTATATGTTTTTATCAACCAATTAATCAGATAATGGTAAAAATGGTAATAAAAATTGGTAATAGGTTATGTCTTAGGGGTGGAACAGTTCACAAAATCCACGGTTCGGTTCGGTTCACGGTTTTCGGTTCGGTTTATGTTTATTGTTACACCGAAAAAAAAACTATATATATAAAAATTAATAAAAAATATTTTTTTATGAAATTAATGAAAAAATTAAAAAAAATGAATGAATTGCAATTATTTTTAATGATTCGCGGAAACCATGCATCATTTCCGCATGTTCTGCTGCTTTGAATTTAATCATCTCGCGCATGCCCTCTACGATCTCCAAGGAACTCCGAGTCGAGCGGACGGGAGCCACAGTGGAGGCTGTAGGCTTTGCTTTGTGCAGGCGGTCTGGAGCGCAGCGGGGTGGAGCGGAGCGGGGGTTGCTGACGGAGTATGAGGGATTTCGGGGTTAGCATGACATGTTGGTCATGTTGCTGTTAGCATAAACAAAACGTGTTGCACAATGCTTGCACACTGTTGCACTTTTATCCACAACTTTCTTTCCGCCGTCATCATAGGTCACTCTAAATGCAAAGTGGTCCCATTCAGCAGACCTATAAAGTGCTGCTGGCGCGTCTTCCAACTCCTGTCAGGGGTTGAGGTTAAGGAATTTTACCACTTGCCCTCTGGGCAAGTGACTTTCACATTTCATTTGCCCAGAAACAATTTTTACTTGCCCAGTATAATGTTTGATAAATATAGTTCCCAATATTCATTTTGGTATATATATCAATGAAACATGTTTGTTTTTAAACGTTTTTTGTAATTCAGTATTTTTTTATTTTACAGGTTCCTGGTGTGTGTATATGCATGCGTCAGATAATGAACTCAAGCCTACATTACCGTGTTATAACATTCTTTTCAATCCTTCCTGCACATTCTTTTCAAACTTAACTTTGCTTTAAACTGTTGTGTGCTTGGGAAAAATACAAATTGTAATGTTAAAAATCTAAAAAAAAAACTTGACAGGTTAAAAACTTAAGATAAATCACAAGACAGAAGTCAATGTCACAAATGAATAACTTATTTTAGAGTCACAGTATGTTTATACAAGATAATACTATTAATATAATGTGACTTTTCTAGAGAATCATTATACAGTTATTTTATACAGGGTTTCCACAGTCTTACATAATTTCAGAATTCCCTGACTTTTAACTGACTCAGAATTAGTTTTCCCTGACAAAATAAATGCAGCAACAAGACAATAATAATAACATAACGGGTCACCAATTTAAAATGTTTAGCTCTATAACATTTAAATGCACCTCTCCAATGTCTGAGAGAAAAAAATTAATGAACATTTTTTAATGTATGACCACTGTACAGAAGACTGCCATATGATAGCGCTTTCTAGCTTGTTTGTCGTTTTGGTAACTACATCAAAATTACCGCTAGGTGGACAAAAATCACGCCAACTGGCTGAAAATCTCACGGCTTTTTCAAATCACGAGTCTTTTTCAAATCATGCGAGAATGTGTACAAAACAACAAAAATGCCGCCGGCTGTGTTGTTTTCAGCTAATGTCGGTGATTTAAAAGTAATTTTGAGTGATAAATACTTTTTTTTGCGATCACTGCCCGGCGGGAAAATGCAATGAAATGTGTACTCTCCTGACAATAAAAAGTACTTGCCCCGGGCGATCGGGCCATGGTTAACATCGAGCCCTGCCTGTTTTTTCCCACTTGCCATACCCACACAATTCTCCACAACAACTGATTTTTTTCTGCTACACCCGGCTACGCTGTTTCGCTTCTTCTTCTTCTTGTCTACTACTGGTGGTTGGCTTTGGTTGCAGTACCGCCACCTTCTGCTCTGGAGTGTAAACGCTTCGCCTATGAGAAAATGGAGCAGAGCATGAACCGAACGCAACACACGCGAACCGAACCGAGACAGTCGAACCGAACGGTTCGGACGGTTTTCATACACCGTTCCATTCCTATTATGTATGTATGCCGCATTTGAAAAAAGATCACATTCGTATCGGATTCAGGACCACATAGCAAAGTGGCCTGGGTCGGATTGGAAAAAATCAGATCTGTGTTGTTCAGACTGCCATGAAAAGATCAGATCCAGATCGCATGTGGGCAAACAAATTGGATTTAGGTCACTTCAGGCTGCAGTGTGAATGTAGCCATAGTCCAGCTCAAAGTTGTAAGTAGTGTCTGTTCTGCATGTTCTGGCTCTAAGATCTAAAGCGTTGAAGTCATCGGGAAACAACTGTTCCAAACGTTGCATTTCCGAAATGCATACATTTATAAACCAACCAAAACTATTCAAATATTATCAATGAATAGCAAATGGAGGGAGTGGGGAGTGGCAATGCATGCCCTTCACATAATTTCATCAGACAACCGATGTACTTGGAAAACCCTGTATCAACATTGGAGCAAAAAATAGCATAAATGTTTTATGGTCATCCTGAAGATAAAGCTCTTTATATTAGTTTTCATTAAAGGTAGCTGGCAAATATATAAATGTCTGATACCAGGGTGTTGTTTTTTGTTTTTGTATTGGCCGATATGTGCATTCATTGGCTTATTCATTAGAGTGTTCAGCAGCTATGCATTGAACCAAGTGAAATTCCTTCACTGACACTCTCCTACATTTCTATGAAGTTACATTGGGGCAAAAAAAAGTCTGTTTGAAAACATAATTTGTTGTTTAAAGAAATCTTGAACCTGTAATGTAGTTTAAATCATTTTGTTTTAGTTTCAAACCATTCGGTGGCGTTTCCTTTTTTGTTTTAAAAATGTTTTGTTAACTTTATAATAAGAAGTTAAATCCATAACTTGCAATCAATTGTTAATTTTTGTTTGTGTTAATATAGGTTTCATATTGGTTTAAACTGGGACTTGTTTAACATTGTTATCACTATTCCATATCTATCATATAAATAAGGAAAGAAAAAGGTAATTCACCTCCAAAAATTAGACCCAAAAACATCGGCAGCACATATCGGCATTTCATTAGACTGATGTTAAATAATTGCAGTTGGCCTTAAGCAACCTGTATCAGTCGATCTCTAGAGTTTATTGTCCTCAGATTAAAGTTATCGGAATCTAGGCATTAAAAACTCTAACCAGCCTTTTACCTAAATAATGCATAACACAATGATACGATGACAGCATCGTTCCTTAATGATTCGCTGGTCAGCACGTTCTCTATACTTCCTCACACAGCTTCTAACATGAAGAACACTCTTGAGGTTTAATCTGTAATCCAGTCTTTTTTATATTCATCAAGTTCCATTTTCACCTTTTTTTTAGTCTACCTCTTCCATAAATAAAGACCATCTAACTTTAGGGGTCACTCTCTCAGCTACGGAGAGCAGCCGGTTTAAAAACCCATCGGCTGTATGTGTGTGCAGACGTGTTTTCAGCCCAGTGAATTCCCAGCATCAGCACCCAGCCACAGAAAACGCACCAATATAATTAGCTGGCACAACAACAGGAGACTGGGAGACGGAGGAAGACAGGAAGCGAAGTAAGTGGTGCAGAGAACCTGATGACTCACCCATCCCGTCATTTGAGTCCTACAAAGATCTGAGTACAGGTCATTCTAAGCAGAATACAAGGTGGATGAGAGAAAACAATAATATGGTTTCTAGACGGATATAATTAAATCAAGCTAATGGAATTGCAACAACAACAGCTGAAAGAAACATGGGATGAATGGAAAGTGATGATTCAGATGGTTTTAAATCATGTTCCAACAGCGGCACTAAAAGGAAGAGCTTTCTCACTGTAGCAGAAAATAATTCTAGTTCTTAAAGCCAGTTAATTCAATCAAAGAGCTCCAGTAATTCATTTACCAGGAAGTGACTGATGATCAATATACTTATTGAGGAGCATTTCCAAAGGCTCACTGGCTGCATGACAGACGGAACCCGTAGATTTAGATTCTCTTTGGTTGTAATCCATTATTAAGACTAACTCACCCATGACGGATCACAGAAGGGCTGCTGCCTTTCTCCAGAGTTCATTGAGCAGGCGCAGCTGCGTGTCTGTTCACCACAAGACAGACTGTAAGACAAGGGCAGCCTGCAGCAAATCATCTGGTCTGCAAAGGTGATTGGCTGCAATCTTCCATCTGTACGCCTCCAGGACTCTGAGGCATGTAGGGAAGATTGTGGCTGATCCCTCGCACCCCAGCCACAAACTATTGTGGTCACTTCCCTCTGGCAGGAGGCTGCGGTCCATCAGAACCAAAACCTCACGCACAATAACAATTTCTTCCCATCCACTACCAGCCTTATCAACAAGGCCCAGTGACCACCGTGACACTGACACTGCCTCTCTCCCTCCACCGTTTAGGAGCTAGAGGCTACACCAACATAGCATCTCCAGAACCTCCTGTGTTACATTAACGCACAGTCTACTGTGTATACAGTATATGGCTATATACATATATAGTATATTGTATGTTTTATATTGTATATAGCTATAGAATCTGTGTATATAATTTGTCTGCACCATCAACACCAAAAAAAATTCCTTGTAAGTGCAAACCTACTTGGCAACAAAACTTGATTCTGATTCTGAAGAAGTCCACATCTAAGGACAGCTTACACTAGTAGAACCGACTGGCCTAAATCATGTTTTCAGATTGTGGCAGGAAGCTCGAGTACCCAGAAAGAATCCAGAGAGAACATGGAAACTCCATGGAAAAGGACTCCTGACAGGGATTTGTACCAAATGACTCCATTGTACTATAGATCAGCAAATCATGTCAAACGCACAACTCCTCCTCTTTGGACGGCAAAAACAAACTAGGGCTATGGTTTTGGAAAGAAATATCATGTAATTTTGTTCTGACACTGAAATGACAGCTCATATAAAAGTTTGACTCTATTTTTTTTAAATCCAAAGTAAAATTAAGACACAATAAAAAATGAAACCATTACTTTTCCTTGTTACGATTACAATTAGTGTTGCACAGATACCGATACCAGTATCGGGCAGGGACCTGATCCAGTACTAAACGGTAGTATCGGTATCGGCGCGTAACAAATAGGGCACCAATTCCATTTTGAGAGCCAAAAGTTTATTCAACTATTGTCATCCATTCCAGGTAGGCAATAAAAGGTTCTACTGGATTCACTTTGTATTAGTCTTTTTCCTGCTTCACAAAGGTAGGCAGCAGCTTGACAAAGCCATGATGGCAATTATTTTACATCCAAGTAGTATGCAGTTCTTCATACACACACACATCAATTTCAAACCGATAGTATCAGTATCGGCTGATACTGCACAGCCAGGTATCCGGTATCGGGGCCAAAAAATGGCATCAGCGCAACACTACTTACAAAGAATGACAGCAAATGTAGCTGGTAATATTTGTTAGGGGTGTAAATCACACCCATCATGGCGACTCGATTCAGTATCAATTTCCTGACCCAACGATTTTACTATTTTAGATACTCAAGAATACACCACGATACGATTCAATTAACTGGTTAATTTTTTTTTTTATTACCTTACAGGCTAGACAATGTTTCAAATTTGAAATAAATCAATAAAAGCTGCATCTGTGTTTACACGAGTGTGTACAAGTGGAAAGAGGGTAGGGCCTAAAGGAAGTGAGGTAGGAGGTCAAAATGGGTTTAGCGCCACCGCAGCACGGGAGTCAGAATTACGTCCAGGAGCAAATGGATAAAAATAGACCAGAGGAATTTAATAAAAATGAATCGATTCTCTTGCAGACGTGTCGATGCATTGATACAAAACGATTATTATTTACATCCCTAATATTTGAAAAACGCTTAATTCTCTAATTATTTTTTCCTGAGCAATAAAATCATTACAAACCAGAGCCCTGACAGCATCACTTTACTCTACATGTATTTCTATGTAGAGGATCTAGATTTTTAGCTCTGTGTTGAAGAGTTTAATAAACATAATTAGATAAAAGTAATCCTGCAAAATGAATGTATCCAAAATGCTTTCTAGATTCAACTTTTAAAATAGTGCATATAAAGTGCACCAAATAGAGCAACCATTAAGGTAATTTTCTTGTCTCATTGTTTTCTATTTTAAAGAAGAGCTGTGAATATTTCCAGCTCTGTAAACTGAACAGGCCTTTGCTTGGCATGCTCTCACTGCATTGTTGTCAAAGAAGCTCATTAGAAGCTTCTTCCTCCTGGATTTTAGCGCAGACATATCTCTGGGTGTCATCCATCCTGGCAGCTCCAAAGGGAGCCTTTGTTTAGCGGACCGGGGCGGCCCGGGCCGGCGGTGCCAAGCAGCGGATGCTGCGGCGTGTTGTCTCACCCTGCTCCAGGTCCTGCTGGTCGTACCATGGCTCTTCCTCTTCGGTGATGAACTCCTCCATTCTCCCTGCGTTGAGCATGGGTCTCCTCTCCGTCCGAGCAGTGAAATGAATAAACCCACAGAAATAACCAACGCCTCCTTTGGCGGAACAATGACCATCCAACTGCAGCTGCAGGAAAAAAGGATTCAGCGGTCCTCCCACTTAAAGCTGCTCTCTCTACGTGTTTCCTCTCTCCTTCCGCTTCTCCGCTGCTTCCTGCAAACGCATCCTTCTGCTCCTGGACCCAGAGAGCCAGAGCAACCTTCACAGCTGCAGCAGAGGAGGCTCTAGACGTGGCAGGAGGAGGGATGTGGCAACAGCCGCACCTCCTTTCCTTTCTCCCTGTTTTCTCATCAGCTGCGATGCCTTCACATGCAGCTCGTTTTATCTCCACTCAAAAAAAACAAACCTTGGGGTAGAGCTCATTTATCCTGCTTATTAAAATCTAATTTTTGTTTTACACTGAAAAAAAAAACTATTTATTTACTTTAACACAATTGTTTTATGTCCTACCCTGCTGACTTGAAACAATTGTGTTAAAGTAACTGAATCTGATTAAGTAAATGCCAAAAACCGGTTGCATTATTTTTTTCAGTGTAGAAAACTTGGAGCAAATTAAACCAAACTGTAGCACAGAATTCTGTACACCATGTATTACAGTGATGATTCAAGATGAAATAAGAAATACAATGGGGGCCATGGAGGGGCCAGGGATTTTTCATGGGGGGAAATAACCAAAGAATAGAGTAAATTTTATTAAGAAAACTTAAGTATATGTATAAGTTTAGAAAGTATACCAAACAATGTACTTTTAGTATACTTGAAGTACTACTAAAGTAATACTTATTCAAATTAAATTGGGAGATTTTTAAGTTTAACAATAATGTAAACAATAGTATAGTCAAGTGAACTTGACTATACTATTGTTAAGTATATGAAATATAGTTTAGAATAAGTAAACTCTAAGTGCACTGCCTGATTTTAGTATGAAATTAGTGCACTTTTAGTATACCATAATGAACTACTTTTTGCTGAGGGATTAAATGGCCATTATTAGCAATTACCAGTCCCCAAAAAATTACTTCAGACTGCGCCTCCTCTGCCTTCTAGTAGATTTTTTTATGGTTGATAATATGCAGCATTTTATTAACAATTTACCTACTTTGTACCTTTTTTCTACTTTATTTACATTACTACTTTAAAAAAAAACTAAATTTACAGTGTCCTGTCTGGAGATTTGGCAATGAGAATAATGTTCTTGATGCCAAAAAAAGAGCCCAACAGATTTTACTTTCACAAGTGGAGCAGTACGGCTATCACCATGGTGTTCTGCTTGATTTATACATATGAATAGCTTTATTATAATTCATGCAGGGAGTATTACAGATTATATGGACACTGTAATGTAAGTAGAACAGGAAAGGAAAAATAAAGGAGAAAAAAATTAAAGAAAGAGGAGATAAAAGGGAGATAACAATAAAACATCTTCAGTCTGCTTCATCACCTGCAAAGATATGTAAAAGAACAGCACAACCAACAGATAAATACAAGAAAATAACACCTTGATACTATCACTGAAATATAAGTAGTATTATTTAATCTGACATGTATACTGTGGTAGCTGAAGATATGAATATGGGATTTCTGTACGAAAAAAATTTGAATTTTAAACCTTTACTTTGAATGAATTCCACATATTTTAGTTAAATGTGATGTTTAGCTGAAAGGATATGAGATTTTTTTTTTTTTTTGGTTTGTTTAATATTAAAAGAGGGTAATATTTTCTGCAATACATGAAGAACTGCTTAAATTATTTTGATATTACACATTAAAAACGAGTTACAGTAGAGTTAGGATTAGGATTCATTTGTTTATAAAGACCTACTGAACAGCGTCAGGATAGAGACATATTTAATTTGAGTAATGAAACATTAGTTCTGTTCTTAAATAATGGATACATGTTTCACTATATGTAAAAACTCTATCAGAAAACATACACATATATATTTCTGTATAAATAACGATTTCAACATGAATAAAGATAAACTGATATTAAAAAAATAGAAATACTATCATTCGATTGACTGTTTTGTTTTATATTTATAATGAAAAAGCCCAAACAACGAATTGTTCTTGGGGCCCCTGCTATTGTTTCCTGGAGCCCTTATTAGTGATTTAATGTGCCCCATCCCAGCTTGTGACGTTTTATTTTTCAGTACTGTTTAATAAGTTTATAAGTAGAAAGTTGGAGATTTAATATTATATCAACCATAGAAACTGAGATCTGTAGAAGCTGAGATGAAGCTGATGTATTTTTACTGTTTTTCTGAACATTTTTTTCCTAATATGTGGGGAAAATACTTAGTTGGGGAAGATAAGCTGCCATCTTAAAGCAAATGTTTGTCACAACAGAAGGAGTGAAAAGGGTAAAGATTACAATTTATTCTCCCATCTATTATATTTTCATCATAATCATTTGAATGAAACTGGGGTAGACAGTGTGTGTATGTTTATGCACCACTAGAGGACGCACTTCTCTATAAGATTGTGGAGTCTCTCTTGCATTGAGTGTTTACAGTTTTATCACACAGTTCCTCTTGTTCAGGTGTTAGAAATGAAATCCATAAACAGCACCGACTGATTGCTCTCTGATAAGAGCTCTAATAAAAAGCCATTAAAAGGTACGGCTGAGTCATTTCTAACGATTTCTTCCTTTAATTCACTAATAAAGTTAATCAGTTATCTACTTATTCAGACTTTGGATGTTGGCAAGCTGTGCTCTCTTTCTGATGTGGGTTTGTACTTCTGATATCACCCGTGTTGATCTGCCCACCCCTGATTTCTCACAATTTTAACTTCAACCTGTTACCATGTACTTTGAAAAATAGAAATAAGTAATTACTGACATATAAAACCGGTAACAAACCTCACTGAGAGACTAACACAAACAAACTAAATCTAAGTGTAGTGGTGATTGTTTGCCAGGCCAAACATCCAATTAAAGTTTCACTAAGCCACTACTAAGGAAGGCACTGGGGTCAAGTTTCCGTACGCAGGCAAAAGAAGGTTCAATGTCCAAATTTGATGATGGTTCTGGATGGTTTGTTTTCTACTTCAGCCAACAATTAGAGAGTTCAATCTTTTCTTTTGTCCTACCTCTCTTGCTCTGTTAAAAATCATAGGCCCCAAACCCAAAATGCCTGCTGCTCCTTTCCCAGGCCCCTACATTTAAAGAAAGTGGACTGATCCACATCACTTCCCGTTATACCTCAGAACAAAAAATGAATGAATTAATAAAACAAAGCTAATAGAATCAACAATTATTAACCTGCAAATAAAATCAATGAATATTACAAAGAAATATAAATTTAGGAATTAATTAACACAGATCAAATGGATAAAGAAAGTGACGTAATGGATGCGGAGACTCCACTGCTGCTGCAGATACTGAACACTAACTAACCTGTGTACAACCATGTGGATTTGGCACAAGGAGCTATATAAACTAATTTTTAGGATGTTTCTAGACCGTGTGTGGAAAATTGCTCATATTTTCTCTGTTATCATCTATTGCTTAAGTGGAGAAAACGAGGGGCACAGTTTCACCTTCTTCTTCTTTGCCCCCTTGAATAATCAGAGACGAAGAACTTCAAAAATCCCACCTGTTTGTACCCAACAGGTCAGAGCTCAGCTCCTCTCAAAAATCAAACTTAAAATAACTGAAAATAAAACCAGCAGCTTAGCAGCAGTTAAATATGTTACCTTATATCGTAACCTGAAGGACAAAACCAAAAACACGTGATAAGCCAAAATCTGCTTTCTTTAAATGGTGGATTTGTTCATCCTGCATGTCCCTCCAGCCCAGACACTTTAACCATCCGATTAAAAGCCATCACTAGGAGATTCTGTGTCATGGCTGGCTGTTTAAGATCAGCAGTTTGGGCATTTAGGCGAGTAAATAGGTTTTCTGTGTTTAGTTTTTTCCCTGCAGGACTCGTGATATTGGGACCAATATGAATAAAAAGTTGGCCACAGGTGCTCAGAGCAGTTCTGTCAAACGTAAACATTTTCACATCTATCTGTTCTTTAATAAAGCCATTTAGAGGATACTCTGTGGGAATAAAGGTGCCTCTGTAAAATATGAATAGATGGATAATCAGATTATACCAGTGTTCAACTAGCAGAAGCATCCAGAATTTCACTTAGCCCCTTTATCAACACTTTTCACATTGTTTCATTTAGGAATGTGTGCTCCAATTCAGTGGCGATCCCAACTGGAAAAAAACAATGTTTGCATCGAACTTGTTTGTAGTTTTCTTAGTTTGACTCTTTTTGCTCCTCCTGCTGTTTTGATTTCATGCGGTGTGATTGCTCTGATGTCACGCTGAGGGACGGCTTTAATGTTTTCCTTTTGTATTAATCTGAGGGCCGTTTGCTGAGCAGGCAAGCTCTTGGAGCTACAGCCCGTCCTCACTTTCCACTGAGCTGACCGAGGACCCTGAAAGTTGTATGCTGTTGACTTGGATTTGAAGAAAATTAATAAAAAGACGCAAAGAACACCACAAGGATTGTCTTTCATCTGTTTGGAAAAAAAATATTAACTTTATTTTGCTATGAGGGAAAAAAAGTTTAAGGTAGCCCTGGGGTCCAAGCATGTCACAGCAGCTCTGCTTCCTAATACCAGGTGGTTAGAGGAGTGCGCTGGTGCTCTGAGAAAGTTGCAAGTACCTGGTTCGATCCCCACAGCCTGCACTGTGTGTCCCTGAGGAAGACGTTTAATCCCACACTGCTCACCAGGTGCTGCACAATGGCAGCCCACTGCTCACCAAGGGGATGGGTTAAATGCAGAGAGTTAATTTCTCCAGTGTGAGATCAATAAAGTGCAATTATATTATTGCACTTTATTAGGGAATAATAATATAGTGGATTTAGGGAATCCACTAAATATTTGATTTCTACTCTGACTTCTATATTTAACGTGCTAAATTGAATCTAAATCAATAAGTTTGAAAGCATATACACATATGGTAGAATTATATTAACAGAAGCAGCTATATGTAAAACATGATTGATTTTTTTTAGTGATATGTTAATAGAGCAGAATGAATACATTTTTCCCAAAAGTTTTTCGATCGTTATAAGCCAAACATGGAATAGTCGTCACCCAGTAGAGTTCGTTTAGTGAGTGAACCTCTGTTGAAATATGCTTGAAGTGTTCTGATGAATAAACTTTATAGGCTTTATATAGAAATGATTTTCTATTACATAACAATAGAAACTACAGATGACTGTCATGATGGGTTCACTAAAAGCGACCCAAGAATGCAGAACACCACTGACGGACACAG